GCGCAGACCTGCTGGTTGGAGTGTTTACTGATATATTCAATCTCTCCCTATCCCAGTCTGCTGTCCCCACTTGCTTCAAGATGTCCACCATTGTTCCTGTACCCAAGAAAACAAACGAAGCTGAACTAAATGACTATCGCCCCCTAGCACTCACTTCTGTCATCATAAAGTGCTTTGAGAGGCTAGTTAAGGATCATATTTACATATCACCTCTACCGTACCTGACACCCTAGACCCACTTCAATTTGCTTACCGCCCCAATAGCTCCACAGACGATGCAATCGCCATCGCACTGCACACGGCCCTATCCCATCTGGACAAGAGGAATACCTACGTAAGAATGCTGTTCATTGACTATAGCTCAGTTTTCAACACCATAGTACCCTCCAGCTCATCTTTAAGCTCTGGGACCTGGGTCTGAACCCCAGGTGGTGAAGGTAGGACACAACACCTCCACTTCGCTGAACCTCAACACAGGGGCCCCACAAGGGTGCATGCTCAGCCCCCTCCTGTACTCCCTGTTCACCCATGACTGCATGGCCACGCATTCCTCCAACTCAATCTTAAAGTTTGCAGACGACACAACAGTAGTAGGCCTGATTACCAACAATGACAACACTACCTACAAGGAGGAGGTGAGGGCCCTGGCAGAGTGGTGCCAGGAAAATAACCTCTCCCTCAACATCAACAAAACGAAGGAGTTGATCGTGGACTTCAGGAAACAGCAGAGGCAGCACGCCCCTATCCACATCGACGGGACCGCAGTGGAGAAGGTGGAAAGCTTGAAGTTCCTCTGAGTACACATCACTGACAATCTGAAATGGTCCACCCACACAGACAGTGTGGTGAAGAAGGTGCAACAGTGGAACAACAGCTCCTCTTCAACCTCAGGAGGCTGAAGAAATTCGGCTTTGCCCAGAAGACCCTTGGCACCTAAAACACTCACAAACTTTTACAGATGCACAATTGAGAGCATCCTGTCGGGCTGTATCACCACCTGGTACGGCAACCACACTTCCCGCAATCGCAGGGCTCTCCAGAGGGTGGTGCGGTGTGCCCAACACATCACCGGGGGCACACTGCCTGCCCTCCAGGACAACTACAGCACCCAATGTCACAGGAAGGCCAAAAAGATCATCAAGGTAACCTTATTTCTAAGGCTACATATATTAATATGGGCTATTTTCAGCCCTTTCCTGGGTAACTTATCAGAGGTAGACATAATATGGAAAAGAGCGAACAAAGCAAGAAAAATAAAATACATTCAGCAGTCCATTAATTAATTGGTGTGTGTAAGTGTGCGTGTGTGTGTGCTGTGGGGTTGAAGCTACGAACCCATAGGCTTGGCTCTCTCATCCCCTCCAGGCTTTTGGGAGGGAGGGTGGACAATGAGCCTGTCATAGCAGATGTAAGCAATGTATATAATAATATGGAAAAGAGCAAACAGTGGATTTAACAAGTGACATCAATAAGGGATCATAGCTTTCACCTGGATTCAGTGTTCTTAATGTTTTGTACACTCAGTGTATGGACACATCTGAAATCAGGCTACCTGATGGGACTTTTGTTAATGCAGAAAATCACCAATCAAAGTAAACGTTCTACCACAGTGACCATGTTAATTTTGGTGAACCCTATTTGATTTTGAGTTCAGACATATAAAGTTTGTATCTGAAAACTATGTGTAAGATTGTAAGGGTTGGGGTCAGGTGTGACCCAGGTGCGGTGCAGGATAGACAGTAGGCAGTAGGCAGAGATAGTGAAACAAGGATCTTTACTGATGGTCCCGAAGCCAAAATACAAAATAACGGACCTATCACGATAAAAGAAAGGCGGAGCAAATAAGTCTCCAAAAACCGTCTGACAGCCAAAATACGAAATACTACCTAAGACTGAAACAAATAACGAAACAGGGAGAACGTAAAAATGTACGCACACATGACTGTAAGTCGCTTTGGATAAAAGCATCTGCTAAATGGCATATTATTATTATTATTATTATTATTATTAGAACACTTCTCAAGTACCTGTACATAGGTCTCCGATGAGACACTGAGTAGTACTGCTGGACATAGAGAAACTAGCAGAGAAAACTGAGCAAGGGAACACAGGGAAGTGAGGGCATAAATACACAGGTGAACAGATAGGTGACACCAATAGGATGATGATTTGTCCAGACTGTGAGTGAGGAGGTGCCTAAGGTTGTCGGAGGATGACACCTAGTGGGTCGCTCCGGAACTGCGACCCCCTTCCTGTAACATAAGATCCATACTTTCAGTTGATCCGAACTGTCACTCCCGCATGAAGGCGTCCCCATGCTTCCCAGCCGAAACAGTTCGGAAGAGTTTGTGCATATATTATGATAATATTTTATGACGTTTTTGTTCGTTTTGGACTTCGGTAAGTTTTTTTCGGTTGTTCAGACAAAAAAAATTATTTGAGAGGAAAGCCGAAGTCGATAGACGAAGTCTACGCCCCTTCGTCGATGATTGGTCAACAGTAGGGATTCTTCAATAAAGTATTTGAATGTCATTCAACGAGAGACTACTCGTTTTCATGCACATGTGTTCATTGAGAAATACTGCACCAAACATCTCAGTTAGATGTAAAATTGCGCGACTAAGATCTCCTCGGCAAAAACGTCAACATTTATGACGGATTTCTTCAGTTATCTTAGATTAATTTTGACTATTTTAAGGAAATGTAGACTGGCTACGGCATCTCAAAATGGACAAACAGTACTATTGCCGCTGGACAAATCTTCTTGCCTGAGCTGGCGCTGCAGACAGTTATATCGGTCACCTAAAGCAGGACAATTAAAGGCCAAGTGCACCACTTTTGTGATTTTTTATTATTATTATTATTATTTAATTTTTATTCTGGGTGTGCTGCAGCACCCTCAGCACCCCTACTTCCCACGGCCATGCACGCGCAGATCAAATACACTGCTGGAACGCTGACTAAGCTGTTTACATGTTCTAATAATTCAAAAGATTGCTCAGAAAACCATTTTCACAATCACTATAGGGTCAACTGCTACTGTGACATTTCTATGAATGAGTGTTTCTGGCTGTGTAGTAAACTAGAGTCCTCACATACAGTACTAACTCTGATACTAGCTCTCTGTTTACCACAGAGGAATGCTGGATGATCCTACTGTCATTTCTGGTATGTCAGACATTCTCTCCCCATACCCATGTCCTCCAGACATTTAACCACTCTGGAAGTTCAATATAAACATTTTCTTTATTACTGAATACCTACTATAAGCTCTCAACAGAGTGCTTCAGCTTCAAACTGAACAGTTTCTCATAGTAACTCGTAAAGACAAACATATTACAAATCCAGCACAGAATTCTTCTGTCAACCAAACGGTTTGAAAAACCAAACGGTTTTTCAGTTATCATGATGTGTTTAACAGACACAAGCCTCAAAATGCTCTGTTATCACAGCTCTAGGGTAGTGATATAAGTTCAGGCTTGTGTGAGGGTTCTGTGGATGTCCCTTTCCACAATTATATCACATTCACAGCCCTGTTATTTCACAGTGAAAAATAGTTACCATGGGGGCATGATGTCACTCACCCCAGGAGATAAACACAACGTTGCATATACTGTAGATTTGCCTGCCTGCCTGCCTCTCTCTCTCTCTCTCTCTCTCTGTCTCTCTGTCTCTCTTGCTCTCTCTCTCTCTCTCTCTGTCTCTTGCTCTCTCTCTCTCTCTCTCTCTCTCTCTCTCTCTCTCTCTCTCTCTCTCTCTCAAGGAGACCTACAAACCAATTTGTGTCCTCAAAATGTTTTATTTTAACGTGAGCAATTCCGACTGTCGTTTTTTCACACAGCAGCAGAGATATACAGTATAGACATTATACAGAGACAGTATAATGAGCACATCACACTGACTGATAGCTTCAATTTCTGCTTTTCAATACTTTCCCTCCACATATCAGATATCCAATACAGCAGTCGTCCACTTCCACTGACTGCACACTGAAGCACACAGGAAATGTACACGGCAGGATGTATTATGTTTTCTCTCACAGCACAGTCTAACTCATATCCAAGGTGTAGGCTAGGTAGGGTCACGTTAAGCAGACACCCACACACATGTGCTTTACAGGCCAACGGAAAGGGTTCAGATCCCATGGGGGGCCAGGGAGTTCCCCGGGGAGTTCACAATTTCATGTGCCCACCGGTAAATTAAATTTGCACACAGCACTGCCATGTCAGTGGTAAATAGGGACGTGTTAACAGACACCCACACACTCCATGCAAGCATACACACACACACACACACACACACATGCTTTAAGGGTCAACAGAAGGGTTTCTTCCCAGTTCACGTACAGGTCAAACCCCAGGGGGGAGGTAGGGGAGTTCGCGCACGTTCAGCCTAACAACCTGTGTAAGTCAATAAGAACGTTTTTTTAAGGTTGAAGAGAGACCCCAGAGGAGTCTGAAAGCGCCACACCTAGAGGCACTCAATCCCACTTGGACTGTTATTGGTTTGTTCTTTTCTGCCTCTGCTGAGAGAAAACGAACACGGGCGCTTTTGTTGGAGGAACTTAGAACAATGACATAATAGGATGGGATGTAGAAATAACATTGGACTGGACAACCCTAGCCCTAGGAGATGAGAGGAGAAAACACTAGGAAATACAGATCATAAACCTCACAGAGAGACACCAGATGCTAAAAGACTGAACTGAACACTGAGGGATGCAACACAAATACTGGAGCACAGCGGTGTATCCATTTCCACCAAAATCACTCAAATGAAACACTGTTATAGGAAAACATAAACGTTGGGCATGCAATACTTGCTTTATTCATGTAAAAAGACAAAACAGCAATAGATCGAGGTGAAAGAAAGAGAAATCCTGAGGTAAAAAGTTGCTACAGTAAAGTCTGTGGTGAGAAAAATAGCCTTGGTCGGTGAGAACCATGAGAACCAGGTTAAGGAGGCCATGCTGTGGTGGTTCCCCAGGGAGGGCGAGGGTTCTAGGGGCAGATGGGGTTGGAGGGCTGAGCCTGGGACCTGGATGTGGCCCCCAGGGTACCATAGACCCCGCTCTCATCCTGCCAGGTGTTCCTGCCCACGCGACGGTAGTCGGCGGTGTCTGTGAACTGGGACTGGGGCTTCCTGTAGTCAGGACTGCTGTCTGCTGGGCCCTTCATGGTCCTCTGGAGGGGGAGACACAATGTGTGGATGTAGATGCTGCTTTTTCACAAGTTCGAGGCTTTAAGCCAGGCACTGGTGTAAAACCCTGAGGTTAGGCCAGGCACCGGTGTAATACCCTTGGGTGGAAAAGTGACAAGGTTTGAGTCTATCACTGGTTCTTTGCTCAAGACAAAGAGCTGTGGAAATGTTGTACTTTGATCGCAGACTAGCTTAATAATGTGGGCCTCTACAAAATGGTTCTATGGAGTGACATTTATCGAAGCTCAAAACATCTAATCTGAAAAAGTTTCAGATTTCTTTATTTGATTTGGTCCCTTTCCAAAGTAGTGCCAAGATTGTTGAACAGCAGTATAGTCCTCTAAGAACAGGTAGCCAACCTCAGCAACAGGTGGACATTGATCATGGAAATCAGCACACACATGTCCTCAAATGTACTCATATAAAAAAACTAAGTTCACTAAAGTTTACATAATAGGGGAATCAGAAATCCACACAGCAATCTCTCCACATGGGGAACCTATTGCACTATAATCCATACTTTGTTTTATTTCCTGTTAAAAATGAGAAGAGTTTAAAAAATATATTTCTATGGAATTAAAAGTTGAATGTGAAACGTATGCAGCTCCCTGCAGGGTAAGCCCAGAGCTCAGAATCCCAGACTAGTCCTTCTGTAGAGCATTATCCACTATATTACACATCTGGGAACAGTTATACAGAGGAAAAAATAAAACCACACATTAAATACATAACGCTAGAAACCTGCCACTGCTGACAGAGCAGCATATCACAAGTGCTTCTGGAACAGCCAAATGATGACACATGACATAACAGAAACACTCAAATGGAAGCACTAATGCTATGGATAACAACCTTCTATACATGGTGGTACATGAAAATGTACTGTATCTGTCAACACATGGTCGACGTGTGTCAGATGACAGGAAACAGTATGTCTAGGAGGAGTTGACGTGTGTCAGATGAGAGGAAACAGTATGTCTAGGAGGAGTTGACGTGTGTCAGATGAGAGGAAACAGTATGTCTAGGAGGAGTTGACGTGTGTCAGATGACAGGAAACAGTATGTCTAGGAGGAGTTGACGTGTGTCAGATGACAGGAAACAGTATGTCTAGGAGGAGTTGACGTGTGTCAGATGACAGGAAACAGTATGTCTAGGAGGAGTTGACGTGTGTCAGATGACAGGAAACAGTATGTCTAGGAGGAGTTGACGTGTGTCAGATGACAGGAAACAGTATGTCTAGGAGGAGTTGACGTGTGTCAGATGAGAGGAAACAGTATGTCTAGGAGGAGTTGACGTGTGTCAGATGACAGGAAACAGTATGTCTAGGAGGAGTTGACGTGTGTCAGATGAGAGGAAACAGTATGTCTAGGAGGAGTTGACGTGTGTCAGATGACAGGAAACAGTATGTCTAGGAGGAGTTGACGTGTGTCAGATGACAGGAAACAGTATGTCTAGGAGGAGAAGAAACAAGGGATAGTAATTCAATAATAAAGCAGAAGACTATGAAATGGTGATATCCATTTGAAAAGGTGTTTGAGGTTTGAACGGGTGTCCAGTGAAAATGACACTCATCCTAAACAGTCCATGCAGTTATTAATATCTGATTATGTTTGACACTCACTCTCACCGCCTCTTTGCTGTAGTCCCATTGGGGTAGGTAATCCACTGCATATGTGGTGTCCAACTCCCTGGAATCGGAGACAGACACTTTAAAACAGGTTTGACGCTGCAGAGAGAAAGGACTCATTACGTCATACATTAGGTCTATAGCACAGGAGGTTGGTGCCACCTTAATTGGGGAGGACGGGCTCGTGGTAATGGCTGGAACGGAATCAGTGGAATGGTATCAAATACATCAAGCACATGGTTTCCATGGTTTCTATGTGTTTGATGCCATTCCATTCGCTCCGTCCCAGACATTATTATGAGCCGTCCTCCCCTCAGCAGCTTCCACTGGCCTATGGCTTCCCTCACAGGAAAACCTACAAGAATCTACTGCTGAATAACTCTCTCTGAGCAGACTCACAGAGACAAACTCACAGGCTCTAGTCAACCTGGTGTTTATGCTCACAGGGATAGATATGTTACATCTGCTGCATGTTTATGACCCTATCTGTCACGACTGTGTCTTGTTTTCTCTCCATCATGTTGTTTTACTGTAAAGTGTATTCTTATTTTAAATGCACCTTAAATCAAGTTTGATTTGATAAACACTGAGTGCATTATTATTTTTTTTCTGCTTGTATTTTGTATTTATATTGATGTGTGTATTTTCTGTCATTTATGTAATTCAGGGCTCATCTATAAAAGAGACCTTGGTCTCAGTATGACTCCCTAATAAAATTAAGGTAAAATAAAATTGCCACTACGCCCAGACAGTGTGCGAATGGGATATCTTATAGCCTACACCAAATATACAGACAGATGTTCATGAAAGGTCTCTTGGCATGACTCAAATGTTGTTAAGTGAATGTTGTGTTAAGTGTTGCCAAGTCTTCTAAAAGCGTCAGTGGTGTGTGTCAGTGGTGTGTGTTAGTGGGTGTGTCAGTGGTGTGTGTCAGTGGTGTGTGTGTGTCAGTGGTGTGTGTCAGTGGTGTGTGTGTGTCAGTGGTGTGTGTCAGTGGTGTGTGTGTGTCAGTGGTGTGTGTCAGTGGTGTGTGTGTGTCAGTGGTGTGTGTGTGTCAGTGGTGTGTGTCAGTGAGTGTGTCAGTGGTGTGTGTCAGTGGTGTGTGTGTGTGTCAGTGGGTGTGTCAGTGGTGTGTGTTAGTGGTGTGTGTGTCAGTGGTGTGTGTCAGTGGTGTGTGTGTGTGTCAGTGGTGTGTGTCAGTGGGTGTGTTAGTGGTGTGTGTATGTCAGTGGTGTGTGTCAGTGGTGTGTGAGACACACTACAAATGCTGTTGTGAGCTGTAGCGCTAGCCTCCCACAAAGTAAGGACCGACGTCGACATCAGGAATACATCACTTTTTCCATCTATTATGCAATTGTGTTTGACAGTAATGTTTACTACAGGCCTAAATGACTGTTTTAATGTGGAAAACAAAGGGGTTGCATTGGAGCAAAAGGCAAATGTTTGCTCCAGCCCTCTCAACAAAGGATGTTCCAAACCTCTCGAACTTTGCTTACAGCACAGGTTTCTCAGCTGTTATCATATTTTAAAATGGTAAATATCAACATTTGAGATTTTGTTGTTGTTGTGTAAAACAATGTGGTTATTTAACCAGCAGAATGAGACCTCAACGACCAAACAGTCATATCGCCCTCTTCTGGCAGACAGTAGTAGCGACACAGAGTGAGTTCACCGTTCTCACTGTCCTCTAGTACAAGAGAAGACTAGTTACTGACTGTGTGTAGAAGCAAGACGAACAGAGAACGGTCTCTTACATCAGGTCATGCCCGGGGCGATGACGTGGCAGGATGCTATTGGTCACATCAGTCACATGTCCTGCTGTGTCTCTGCTGTAAAACAACACTGGATCAACACATTATCAGTGAAGAGATCACATGACCAGAGAGAGACCAAGTGTCCACCTATATTTAATTAGTAAATCTCTGCACATAACATACATAGCATCTCAACATTCTACTGCAACATCATGAATATACTGTATGTGTATTCACCTTGGCACCTTAACTGGGGAGGACGGGCTCGTGGTAATGGCTCGAGGGAAATAGGTGGAATGGTATCAAATACATCAAACCCATGGTTTCCATGTGTTTGACGCCATTCCATTTGCGCCGTTCCAGCCATTATTATGAGCTGTCCTCCCCTCCACTGGTGTAAAGCCTGTAACCGCATACATGTATATATGTTTGTCTTGTACGTACCAATACTTTACCACACACAAAGTTCCCTCTCAGGAAACAAAAGTTATTTGAAGTGAATTGAATATAGAGTCTGTGAGTATAAGAACAAGGTGTTTCTTGTGAATCATTCATGCAGCCTTGCTATGAGTTTCACCATGAAGGAGAAGAATGTGCTCGAATGGTCAGTGAGAACGTGCTCCTGAATGGTCAGTGAGAACGTGCTCCTGAATGGTCAGTGAGAACGTGCTCCTGAATGGTCAGTGAGAACGTGCTCCTGAATGGTCAGTGAGAACGTGCTCCTGAATGGTCAGTGAGAACGTGCTCCTGAATGGTCAGTGAGAACGTGCTCCTGAATGGTCAGTGAGAACGTGCTCCTGAAAGGTCAGTGAGAACGTGCTCCTGAATGGTCAGTGAGAATGTGCTCCTGAATGGTCAGTGAGAACGTGCTCCTGAATGGTCAGTGAGAACGTGCTCCTGAATGGTCAGTGAGAACGTGCTCCTGAATGGTCAGTGAGAATGTGCTCCTGAATGGTCAGTGAGAACGTGCTCCTGAATGGTCAGTGAGAACGTGCTCCTGAAAGGTCAGTGAGAACGTGCTCCTGAATGGTCAGTGAGAATGTGCTCCTGAATGGTCAATGAGAACGTGCTCCTGAATGGTCAGTGAGAACGTGCTCCTGAATGGTCAGTGAGAACGTGCTCCTGAATGGTCAGTGAGAACGTGCTCCTGAATGGTCAGTGAGAACGTGCTCCTGAATGGTCAGTGAGAACGTGCTCCTGAATGGTCAGTGAGAACGTGCTCCTGAATGGTCAGTGAGAATGTGCTCCTAAAAATATTTTTTTTAATTAAACGTTTCTTGACTAGGAAAAGACATGGAATCAGTATGTATGGACAAACCCATCACTGTCTTGCACATTCTAATTCATCGCATTATTTGCTGCTCGTGATACTGTTTTATGTGCTGTACACCTTCAGTCTGTATCAATGTAATGCAAGTGACATGCTACAGTCCTCCTATAGCCAGCTACTGTACCTGACGGCACTATGCTACAGTCCTCCTATAGCCAGCTACTGTACCTGATGGCACTATGCTACAGTCCTCCTATAGCCAGCTACTGTACCTGACGGCACTATGCTACAGTCCTCCTATAGCCAGCTACTGTACCTGACGGCACTATGCTACAGTCCTCCTATAGCCAGCTACTGTACCTGACAGCACTATGCTACAGTCCTCCTATAGCCAGCTACTGTACCTGACGGCACTATGCTACAGTCCTCCTATAGCCAGCTACTGTACCTGATGGCACTATGCTACAGTCCTCCTATAGTCAGCTACTGTACCTGACGGCACTATGCTACAGTCCTCCTATAGCCAGAGATCTGGCCGTGTGGTGCCAGGACAACAACCTCTCCCTCAACGTGACCAAGACAAAGGAGATGATTGTGGACTACAGGAAAAAAAAGAGGACTGAGCACGCCCCCATTCTCATCGACGGGGCTGTAGTGGAACAGGTTGAGAGCTTCAAGTTCCTTGGTGTCCACATCACCAACGAACTATCATGGTCCAAACACACCAAGACAGTCGTGAAGAGGGCACGACAAAGCCTATTCCCCCTCAGGAGACTAAAAAGATTTGGCATGGGTCCTCAGATCCTCAAAAAATTCTACAGCTGCACCATCGAGAGCATCCTGACTGGTTGCATCACCGCCTGGTATGGCAACTGCTTGGCCTCTGACCGCAAGGCACTACAGAGGGTAGTGCGTACGGCCCAGTACATCACTGGGGCAAAGCTCCCTGCCATCCAGGACCTCTATACCAGGCGGTGTCAGAGGAAGGCCCTCAAAATTGTCAAAGACTCCAGCCACCCTAGTCATAGACTGTTCTCTCTGCTACCGCACGGCAAGCGGTACCGGAGTGCCAAGTCTAGGTCCAAAAGACTTCTCAACAGCTTCTACCCCCAAGCCATAAGACTCCTGAACAGCTAATCATGGCTACCCGGACTATTTGCACTGCCCCCCCACCCCATCCTTTTTACGCTGCTGCTACTCTGTTAAGTATTTATGCATAGTTACTTTAACTCTACCCACATGTACATATTACCTCAACTACCTCAACTAGCCGGTGCCCCCGCACATTGACTCTGCAACGGTACCCCCCTGTATATATAGCCTCCCTACTGTCACTTTATTTTACTGTATATATAGCCTCCCTACTGTCACTTTATTTTACTGTATATATAGCCTCCCTACTGTCACTTTATTTTACTTCTGCTCTTTTTTTCTCAACACTTTTTTGTTGTTGTTGTTTTATTCTTACTTTTTTTGTTTAAAATAAATGCACTGTTGGTTAAGGGCTGTAAGTAAGCATTTCACTGCAATGTCTGCACCTGTTGTATTCGGCGCATGTGACCAATAAAATTTGATTTGATTTGATTTACTGTACCTGACGGCACTATGCTACAGTCCTCCTATAGCCAGCTACTGTACCTGACGGCACTATGCTACAGTCCTCCTATAGTCAGCTACTGTACCTGATGGCACTATGCAACAGTCCTCCTATAGCCGGCTACTGTACTTGACGGCACTATTCTACAGTCCTCCTATAGCCAGCTACTGTACCTGACGGCACTATGCTACAGTCCTCCTATAGTCAGCTACTGTACCTGACAGCACTATGCTACAGTCCTCCTATAGCCAGCTACTGTACCTGACGGCACTATGCTACAGTCCTCCTATAGCCAGCTACTGTACCTGACGGCACTATGCAACAGTCCTCCTATAGTCAGCTACTGTACCTGATGGCACTATGCTACAGTCCTCCTATAGCCAGCTACTGTACCTGACGGCACTATGCAACAGTCCTCCTATAGTCAGCTACTGTACCTGACGACACTATGCTACAGTCCTCCTATAGCCAGCTACTGTACCTGATGGCACTATGCTACAGTCCTCCTATAGCCAGCTACTGTACCTGACGGCACTATGCTACAGTCCTCCTATAGCCAGCTACTGTACCTGACGGCACTATGCTACAGTCCTCCTATAGCCAGCTACTGTCCCTGACGGCACTATGCTACAGTCCTCCTATAGCCAGCTACTGTACCTGACGGCACTATGCTACAGTCCTCCTATAGCCAGCTACTGTACCTGACGGCACTATGCTACAGTCCTCCTATAGCCAGCTACTGTCCCTGACGGCACTATGCTACAGTCCTCCTATAGCCAGCTACTGTACCTGACGGCACTATGCTACAGTCCTCCTATAGCCAGCTACTGTACCTGACGGCACTATGCTACAGTCCTCCTATAGCCAGCTACTGTCCCTGACGGCACTATGCTACAGTCCTCCTATAGCCAGCTACTGTACCTGACGGCACTATGCTACAGTCCTCCTATAGCCAGCTACTGTACCTGACGGCACTATGCTACAGTCCTCCTATAGTCAGCTACTGTACCTGACGGCACTATGCTACAGTCCTCCTATAGCCAGCTACTGTACCTGACGGCACTATGCTACAGTCCTCCTATAGTCAGCTACTGTACCTGACGGCACTATGCTACAGTCCTCCTATAGTCAGCTACTGTACCTGACGACACTATGCTACAGTCCTCCTATAGCCAGCTACTGTACCTGACGGCACTATGCTACAGTCCTCCTATAGCCAGCTACTGTACCTGACGGCACTATGCTACAGTCCTTCTATAGTCAGCTACTGTACCTGACGGCACTATGCTACAGTCCTCCTATAGCCAGCTACTGTACCTGACGGCACTATGCTACAGTCCTTCTATAGTCAGCTACTGTACCTGACGGCACTATGCTACAGTCCTCCTATAGCCAGCTACTGTACCTGACGGCACTATGCTACAGTCCTCCTATAGCCAGCTACTGTACCTGACGGCACTATGCTACAGTCCTCCTATAGCCAGCTACTGTACCTGACGACACTATGCTACAGTCCTCCTATAGCCAGCTACTGTACCTGACGGAACTATGCTACAGTTCTCCTATAGCCAGCTACTGTACCTGACGGCACTATGCTACAGTCCTCCTATAGCCAGCTACTGTACCTGACGGCACTATGCTACAGTCCTCCTATAGCCAGCTACTGTACCTGACGGCACTATGCTACAGTCCTCCTATAGTCAGCTACTGTACCTGACGGCACTATGCTACAGTCCTCCTATAGTCAGCTACTGTACCTGACGGCACTATGCTACAGTCCTCCTATAGCCAGCTACTGTACCTGACGGCACTATGCTACAGTCCTCCTATAGTCAGCTACTGTACCTGACGACACTATGCTACAGTCCTCCTATAGCCAGCTACTGTACCTGACGACACTATGCTACAGTCCTCCTATAGCCAGCTACTGTACCTGACGACACTATGCTACAGTCCTCCTATAGTCAGCTACTGTACCTGACGGCACTATGCTACAGTCCTCCTATAGCCAGCTACTGTACCTGACGGCACTATGCTACAGTCCTCCTATAGCCAGCTACTGTACCTGACGGCACTATGCTACAGTCCTCCTATAGCCAGCTACTGTACCTGACGGCACTATGCTACAGTCCTCCTATAGCCAGCTACTGTACCTGACGGCACTATGCTACAGTCCTCCTATAGCCAGCTACTGTACCTGACGGCACTATGCTACAGTCCTCCTATAGCCAGCTACTGTACCTGACGACACTATGCTACAGTCCTCCTATAGTCAGCTACTGTACCTGACGACACTATGCTACAGTCCTCCTATAGCCAGCTACTGTACCTGACGGCACTATGCTACAGTCCTCCTATAGCCAGCTACTGTACCTGACGACACTATGCTACAGTCCTCCTATAGTCAGCTACTGTACCTGACGGCACTATGCTACAGTCCTCCTATAGCCAGCTACTGTACCTGACGACACTATGCTACAGTCCTCCTATAGCCAGCTACTGTACCTGACGACACTATGCTACAGTCCTCCTATAGTCAGCTACTGTACCTGACGGCACTATGCTACAGTCCTCCTATAGCCAGCTACTGTACCTGACGGCACTATGCTACAGTCCTCCTATAGCCAGCTACTGTACCTGACGGCACTATGCTACAGTCCTCCTATAGCCAGCTACTGTACCTGACGGCACTATGCTACAGTCCTCCTATAGCCAGCTACTGTACCTGACGGCACTATGCTACAGTCCTCCTATAGCCAGCTACTGTCCCTGACGGCACTATGCTACAGTCCTCCTATAGCCAGCTACTGTACCTGACGGCACTATGCTACAGTCCTCCTATAGCCAGCTACTGTACCTGACGGCACTATGCTACAGTCCTCCTATAGCCAGCTACTGTCCCTGACGGCACTATGCTACAGTCCTCCTATAGCCAGCTACTGTACCTGACGGCACTATGCTACAGTCCTCCTATAGCCAGCTACTGTACCTGACGGCACTATGCTACAGTCCTCCTATAGTCAGCTACTGTACCTGACGGCACTATGCTACAGTCCTCCTATAGCCAGCTACTGTACCTGACGGCACTATGCTACAGTCCTCCTATAGTCAGCTACTGTACCTGACGGCACTATGCTACAGTCCTCCTATAGTCAGCTACTGTACCTGACGACACTATGCTACAGTCCTCCTATAGCCAGCTACTGTACCTGACGGCACTATGCTACAGTCCTCCTATAGCCAGCTACTGTACCTGACGGCACTATGCTACAGTCCTTCTATAGTCAGCTACTGTACCTGACGGCACTATGCTACAGTCCTCCTATAGCCAGCTACTGTACCTGACGGCACTATGCTACAGTCCTTCTATAGTCAGCTACTGTACCTGACGGCACTATGCTACAGTCCTCCTATAGCCAGCTACTGTACCTGACGGCACTATGCTACAGTCCTCCTATAGCCAGCTACTGTACCTGACGGCACTATGCTACAGTCCTCCTATAGCCAGCTACTGTACCTGACGACACTATGCTACAGTCCTCCTATAGCCAGCTACTGTACCTGACGGAACTATGCTACAGTTCTCCTATAGCCAGCTACTGTACCTGACGGCACTATGCTACAGTCCTCCTATAGCCAGCTACTGTACCTGACGGCACTATGCTACAGTCCTCCTATAGCCAGCTACTGTACCTGACGGCACTATGCTACAGTCCTCCTATAGTCAGCTACTGTACCTGACGGCACTATGCTACAGTCCTCCTATAGTCAGCTACTGTACCTGACGGCACTATGCTACAGTCCTCCTATAGCCAGCTACTGTACCTGACGGCACTATGCTACAGTCCTCCTATAGTCAGCTACTGTACCTGACGACACTATGCTACAGTCCTCCTATAGCCAGCTACTGTACCTGACGACACTATGCTACAGTCCTCCTATAGCCAGCTACTGTACCTGACGACACTATGCTACAGTCCTCCTATAGTCAGCTACTGTACCTGACGGCACTATGCTACAGTCCTCCTATAGCCAGCTACTGTACCTGACGGCACTATGCTACAGTCCTCCTATAGCCAGCTACTGTACCTGACGGCACTATGCTACAGTCCTCCTATAGCCAGCTACTGTACCTGACGGCACTATGCTACAGTCCTCCTATAGCCAGCTACTGTACCTGACGGCACTATGCTACAGTCCTCCTATAGCCAGCTACTGTACCTGACGGCACTATGCTACAGTCCTCCTATAGCCAGCTACTGTACCTGACGACACTATGCTACAGTCCTCCTATAGTCAGCTACTGTACCTGACGACACTATGCTACAGTCCTCCTATAGCCAGCTACTGTACCTGACGGCACTATGCTACAGTCCTCCTATAGCCAGCTACTGTACCTGACGACACTATGCTACAGTCCTCCTATAGTCAGCTACTGTACCTGACGGCACTATGCTACAGTCCTCCTATAGCCAGCTACTGTACCTGACGACACTATGCTACAGTCCTCCTATAGCCAGCTACTGTACCTGACGACACTATGCTACAGTCCTCCTATAGTCAGCTACTGTACCTGACGGCACTATGCTACAGTCCTCCTATAGCCAGCTACTGTACCTGACGGCACTATGCTACAGTCCTCCTATAGCCAGCTACTGTACCTGACGGCACTATGCTACAGTCCTCCTATAGCCAGCTACTGTACCTGACGGCACTATGCTACAGTCCTCCTATAGCCAGCTACTGTACCTGACGGCACTATGCTACAGTCCTCCTATAGCCAGCTACTGTACCTGACGGCACTATGCTACAGTCCTCCTATAGCCAGCTACTGTACCTGACGGCACTATGCTACAGTCCTCCTATAGCCAGCTACTGTACCTGACGGCACTATGCTACAGTCCTCCTATAGTCAGCTACTGTACCTGACGACACTATGCTACAGTCCTCCTATAGCCAGCTACTGTACCTGACGACACTATGCTACAGTCCTCCTATAGTCAGCTACTGTACCTGACGGCACTATGCTACAGTCCTCCTATAGCCAGCTACTGTACCTGACGGCACTATGCTACAGTCCTCCTATAGCCAGCTACTGTACCTGACGGCACTATGCTACAGTCCTCCTATAGTCAGCTACTGTACCTGACGGCACTATGCTACAGTCCTCCTATAGCCAGCTACTGTACCTGACGGCACTATGCTACAGTCCTCCTATAGCCAGCTACTGTACCTGACGGCACTATGCTACAGTCCTCCTATAGCCAGCTACTGTACCTGACGGCACTATGCTACAGTCCTCCTATAGCCAGCTACTGTACCTGACGGCACTATGCTACAGTCCTCCTATAGCCAGCTACTGTACCTGACGGCACTATGCTACAGTCCTCCTATAGCCAGCTACTGTACCTGACGGCACTATGCTACAGTCCTCCTATAGCCAGCTACTGTACCTGACGGCACTATGCTACAGTCCTCCTATAGCCAGCTACTGTACCTGACGGCACTATGCTACAGTCCTCCTATAGCCAGCTACTGTACCTGACGGCACTATGCTACAGTCCTCCTATAGTCAGCTACTGTACCTGACGGCACTATGCTACAGTCCTCCTATAGCCAGCTACTGTACCTGACGGCACTATGCTACAGTCCTCCTATAGCCAGCTACTGTACCTGACGGCACTATGCTACAGTCCTCCTATAGCCAGCTACTGTACCTGACGGCACTATGCTACAGTCCTCCTATAGCCAGCTACTGTACCTGACGGCACTATGCTACAGTCCTCCTATGGCCAGCTACTGTACCTGACGGCACTATGCTACAGTCCTCCTATAGCCAGCTACTGTACCTGACGGCACTATGCTACAGTCCTCCTATAGTCAGCTACTGTACCTGACGGCACTATGCTACAGTCCTCCTATAGCCAGCTACTGTACCTGACGGCACTATGCTACAGTCCTCCTATAGTCAGCTACTGTACCTGACGGCACTATGCTACAGTCCTCCTATAGTCAGCTACTGTACCTGACGGCACTATGCTACAGTCCTCCTATAGCCAGCTACTGTACCTGACGGCACTATGCTACAGTCCTCCTATAGCCAGCTACTGTACCTGACGGCACTATGCTACAGTCCTCCTATAGTCAGCTACTGTACCTGACGGCACTATGCTACAGTCCTCCTATAGTCAGCTACTGTACCTGACGACACTATGCTACAGTCCTCCTATAGCCAGCTACTGTACCTGACGACACTATGCTACAGTCCTCCTATAGTCAGCTACTGTACCTGACGGCACTATGCTACAGTCCTCCTATAGCCAGCTACTTTACCTGACGGCACTATGCTACAGTCCTCCTATAGCCAGCTACTGTACCTGACGGCACTATGCTACAGTCCTCCTATAGCCAGCTACTGTACCTGACGGCACTATGCTACAGTCCTCCTATAGCCAGCTACTGTACCTGACGGCACTATGCTACAGTCCTCCTATAGCCAGCTACTGTACCTGACGGCACTATGCTACAGTCCTCCTATAGCCAGCTACTGTACCTGACGGCACTATGCTACAGTCCTCCTATAGCCAGCTACTGTACCTGACGGCACTATGCTACAGTCCTCCTATAGTCAGCTACTGTACCTGACGGCACTATGCTACAGTCCTCCTATAGCCAGCTACTGTACCTGACGGCACTATGCTACAGTCCTCCTATAGCCAGCTACTGTACCTGACGGCACTATGCTACAGTCCTCCTATAGCCAGCTACTGTACCTGACGGCACTATGCTACAGTTCCACAGTTCCAGCCTACCTGACTGTACGTCTGTCAAAGCCTGCAGACTGGAAGTGGTCAGCCTCCACCATAGATTTAGGAGTCTTCTTGGGCTCATAATCTCTCTTCAGGAGATACTGGGACATTTGTGTTTCTGTGCTTGTGCTCCAGTCCTGGAGGTTAAATAGAATAGCATAGAATACAATAGAGAAGAGTGGAACAGCATAGAATAGAGATGAATAGAACAGCATATAATACAATAGAGAAGAGTAGAACATCATAGAATAGAGATGAATAGAACAGCATATAATACAATAGAGAAGGGTAGAACAGCATAGAATAGAGATGAATAGAACAGCATAGAATACAATAGAGATGAATAGAACAGCATAGAATAGAGATGAATAGAACAGCATAGAATACAATAGAGAAGAGTAGAACAGCATAGAATAGAGATGAATAGAACAGCATATAATACAATAGAGAAGAGTAGAACATCATAGAATAGAGATGAATAGAACAGCATATAATACAATAGAGAAGGGTAGAACAGCATAGAATAGAGATGAATAGAACAGCATAGAATACAATAGAGATGAATAGAACAGCATAGAATACAATAGAGAAGAGTAGAATGGCATAGAATAGAGATGAATAGAACAGCATAGAATACAATAGAGAAGAGTAGAACAGCATAGAATAGAGATTAATAGAAAAGCATAGAATACAATAGAGAAGAGTAGAACAGCATAGAATAGAGATGAATAGAACAGCATAGAATACAATAGAGAAGAGTAGAACAGCATAGAATAGAGATGAATAGAACAGCATAGAATACAATAGAGAAGAGTAGAACAGCATAGAATAGAGAAGAGTAGAACAGCATAGAATATAACAGTTAGAATATATAGCTATTTTCCAGAGGGAACTTCGGTAAGAAGTAGATTATGTCACAGCAGCAACAACAACAACATATATCATTTATGTTTTAAAGGACCAACTGATACATGAACTACCGAGATCAAAGAAAAAGCATTGATATATAATCTCATATTGTTTGACGGTATTGCTCACTGCATCCATGTAGGTTCCAAAGTGTTTGTAGGTAGATTTGCTGAGTTTCTTCTTTCCATCTGGACACACAGTGAAGTCATAGTCTTTGGGCTCGGCCTCTCTGTTTTTATGCCTAGATGTAAATAATAGGTACATCATTCATATGATCTGCAGATAGCCGTGAAGTTGAGACATATTTGAGAATTAATAGTTGGCTAGTCTACTTACCAATTGGAAATAAGAGTTGGTCTGCTGTAATACATCTTGGTATCAGACATGGTGACTGAGTTTGAAGACCGGACCGTTATTCACCAATAAAACTTCCACTGAACTGAATGAAGCCTTTTGCACTCAGGATTCGCACCTAGCAAAATGAAGAGGCTTCCAAATAGACCGTCAAAGCAAAGATTGGAATGTGAGTAACATTCCATAGCAGTAAACTGTTCGATCGATGTAAGAGTGTAGGTGTATGAAATTAACTCATTAATTAATTACTGTGGACTATGGAAACATTGTAGCTGGTGTGGCGTTTCAATTTTTACAAATGTTGCTACAACGTTACCATGGTGAAACCTGTTTTACACATGCGCACTTTGACTAGCCAAGTGTGTTCATTTTTAATGACCCGGATGAAATTGAGATAATTCGTTGACGTCATCAGTGCACAAAAATGGCAGAGTCGGAGAACGAGGTGGAGGTGTTGGTCCAGAGAGTTGTAAAAGATATCAATAACGCCTTCAAGAGAAACCCCAATATGTACGTATATCCACTTTATCGAAGATAACGACTACGATTAGCTAGCTACAATATAACATCAAATGAATCATTGCATGGTGCGCTAACGAGCTATATCATTAGCTAGCTGCATTATTATTCTAGCTAGAAGCTAACTAACGTTAGCCATTACAGATTGTTGGTCAGCTAGCTAGCAGGATAAAAGGCTTGCCAGGGCAGCATAGGCTTGCAAAAATAGCAAGGGAGATAGCTAGTGTCTTTGCTTACATTGAGCCACAAATCGCAGAGGAAATATATTTGACTTTGCTGTGGAATTTGTTTGCAACTTAGGTAGTTAGCTATCTACAGTAGCTATTCATTAGCCAAGTAACGTTAGCAGAAAGCGCTTGTTTTCACAACATACAAGTCAGCCGAATAATGTTGGAAGAGTCACACATTCCTCGGCTTGCGACTCTCACATGCCATGTCATAGCAGGTTAGTTAGTCAGGGTTTCCCAAACTCAGTCCTGGGATTACTTGGGAACAGATTTCCAGACTCTAAATCAGTTTTCGTGGTGTTTTTACAGTCTATGTCCAACAATGAAAAAAATAAAATATACAGTACCAGTCAAAAGTTTGGACACACCTACTCATTCAAGGGTTTTTCTTTATTATTACTATTTTCTACATTGTAGAATAATAGTGAAGATATCAAAACTATGAAATAACACATGGAATCATGTAGTAACCCAAAAAAAGTGTTAAACAAATCAAAATATATTTTATATTTTAGATTCTTCAAAGTAGCCACCCTTTGCTTTGATGACAGCTTTGCACATGCTTGGCATTCTCTCAACCAGCATCACCTGGAATGCTTTTCCAACAGTCTTGAAGGAGTATACTCACATATACTGAGCACTTGTTGGCTGCTTTTCCTTCATTCTGCGGTCCAACTCATTCCAAACCATCTCAATTGGGTTGTGGTCTGGTGGATCATTGTCCTGTTGAAAAATAAATGATAGTCCCACTAAGCGCAAACCAGATGGGATGGCGTATCGCTGCAGAATGCTGTGGTAGCCATGCTGGTTAAAGGTGCCTTGAATTCCAAATAAATCACAGACAGTGTCACCAGCAAAGCACCATCACACCACCACCTCCATGCTTCACAGTGGGAACCACACATGCGAAGGTCATCCGTTCACCTACTCTGCGTCTCACAAAGACACAGCGGTTGGAACCAAAAATCTCATCAAATTTCCACCGGTCTAATGTCCATTGCTCGCGTTTCACCAAAGCAAGTCTCTTCTTCTTATTGGTGTCCTTTTAGTAGTGGTTTCTTTGCAGCAATTAGACCATGAAGGCCTGATTCACGCAGTCTCCCCTGAACAGTTGATGTTGAGATGTGTCTGTTACTTGATCTCTGTGAAGCATTTATTTGGGCTGCAATTTCTGAGGCTGGTAACTTTAATGAACTTATCCTCTGCAGCAGAAGTAACAATGTCTTCCTTTCCTGTGGCGGTCCTCATGAGAGCCAGTTTCATCATAGCGCTTGATGGTTTTTGCGACTGCACATGAAGAAACTTTCAAAGTCCGGATTGACTGACCTTCATGTCTTAAAGTAATGACGGACTGTTGTTTCTCTTTGCTTATTTGAGCTGTTCTTGCCATAATATGGACTTGGTCTTTTACCAAATAGGGCTATCTTCTGTATACCCCCCTACCTTGTCACAACACAACTGATTGGCTCAAACGCATTAAGAAGGAAATAAATTCCTCAAATTAACTTTTAACAAGGCACACCTGTGAATTGAAATGGATTCCAGGTGACTACCTCATGAAACTGGTTGAGAGAATGCCAAGAGTGCGCAAAGGGTGGCTACTTTTGAAGAATCTCAAATATAACATATCTTTTGATTTGTTTAACACTTTTTTGGTTACTACGTGATTCCATATGTGTTAGTTCATAGTTTTGATGTCTTCACTATTATTCTACAATGTTGAAAATAGTAAAAATAAATAAAAACCCTTGAATTAGTAGGTGTTTCCAAACTTCTGACTGGTACTATATATATATACTTTTTATTGTTTTTGCTCAGACAACTTGGGGGCTAAATAAAATTACCAGCTGGCCGCCAGTTGGGGAACTCTGATGTAGAGTGTATAATGCAGAGTGTAGAATGCAGAATAGAACTGGAATGTAACAAGCTTCTGTGTAGAAGCGTCCTGGACTGAGTGTTCTAAATTAGAAGTGGCCTACATTCTGTAACTCATTTAAGAACAGGGTGTGAATGCTTTAACTTTGATGTTGAACATTCCAGATCTTTTCCCTTTCATTTGCATCTCCTTGAGTTTTGACAGCCAGCTCAGAGCTCATTATAACGAGCCTATACAAATATTTCAAAGAAAGATATAAAATACTGCTGCTGTACACTGCACAACGGAAAGATAACTTTTCATTTGATGCACATATCAGTTATTTTATCCAGACCTTGGCTGTGACCCCACTGAATTCAATTCAAGGGGCTTTATTGGCATGGGAAACATACGTTTACATTGCCAAAGCAAGTGTAATAGATAATAAACTAAAGTGAAATAAACAATAAAAATGAACAGTAAACATTACACAAAAGTTCCAAAGGATTAGAGATTCAAATGTCATTATGTCTATATACAGTGTTTTAACGATCTGCAAATAGTTAAACTACAAAAGGGAAAGTAAATAAATATGGGTTGTATTTACAACGGTGTTTGTTCTTCACTGGTTGCCCTTTTCTTGTGGCAACAGGTCACAAATATTGCTGCTGTGATGGCACACTGTGGTATTTCACTCAATAGATATGGGAGTCTATCCACATTTGATTTGTTTTTAAATTCTTTGTGGATCTGTGTAATCTGAGGGAAATATGTGTCTCTAATATGGTCATTCATTTGGCAGGAGGTTAGGAAGTGCTGCTCAGTTTCCACCTCATTTTGTGGGCAGTGTGCACATAGCCTGTCTTCTCTTGAGAGCCAGGTCTGCCACTCTCCAAAAGAGTGTCTCAGGGAGAGTTGGGATATGCAGAAAACACATTTCCAATTCACACATGCTTATTAATACACACTTGTACATGAAATAGGACAAATATCAGCAAGTACCTTAGCACCCACCAAATAATTATTATAATTTATTATTATCAAAATTAGAACATTGTCAGACCATGCCTGAACTTGTCTGATTGATTAACCTACATTTCTACTTTATAAGGTAAAGTTAAGAGGCAAATAACAAACATCTAAGCTTGATTTGTAGTGTCAGTGTGTATAATGTCGCATAGGCTTCTCCATCCCTCCGGTGTTATTGTAAGTGACCTGTGCTGTGCTGAGTGCAGTGCTTTGAGAATGGCTGTGTGTGTGTTTGCGAACACTGACCTGACTCATGCTGATGCATACTTAGACTACACACACACACACACCCTCAGTTAACATCCCACCCTTCTCCTGTGTCCCTCTCAGCATGTGCCAGAGCTGGGCTGTGTTCAGCATAACAACATTGTAGAACATTCCTCTCTAGCACATATAATTAGGAATCACTTAAGTTCTATTTGTGACGTTTTGTGTACTATACGTGACCCTACTGCGAAAGGGACTTGTGCCGCAGTTTAAGCCAAACCTGTTCTGCTGTGTGCTCACGGCGTAGACTCTCTGGAGATGCATGTGTGCAAACTAGGTCTCTACAAGGCTTGTCCCCGGTCCAGACCAGTGTTATGTTGGGCATCTGAAAGAGGCTTGTCCCCCGTCCAGACCAGTGTTATGTTGGGCATCTGAAAGAGGCTTGTCCCCCGTCCAGACCAGTGTTATGTTGGGCATCTGAAAGAGGCTTGTCCCCCGTCCAGACCAGTGATATGTTGGGCATCTGAAAGAGGCTTGTCCCCCGTCCAGACCAGTGATATGTTGGGCATCTGAAAGAGGCTTGTCCCCCGTCCAGACTAGTGTTATGTTGGGCATCTGAAAGAGGCTTGTCCCCCGTCCAGACCAGTGATATGTTGGGCACTAAAAGCTCCTTCAACTAGAGACCTGTTTGAGCTAGATACAACCCTACCCCAGACAGTGAATAAAGCCTGTCCATTAGACTGGGGTGGAGGTTGTTGCTCCTTATTGCTGTGTGTGCTGGTCAAAATGTTATTGCTGTGCGTGTGAGTGAGCACATGCATGTGTATCTGAGATTGTGTGTTTAAAGTAGCAGGCAGAAAAAGACGCCTGAGCAGAGTCCCCACAACAGTTTTTCAGGGGAAACGGAAGGTAAGTTGAGATACTGTATCCCTGAAAACTGGAAACATCCGATTTCTGCTGATCCTGCGGAGAGTGGAGTGTTTTTGTGTCCTTGTAGTGTTAGAGCAATGAGCATGCAGGTTTTTACACACACAATCTCTCTCTCTCTCTCCCTCCCTCTCCCAGTGATGAGATAGGTCTGATCCCGTGTCCAGAGGTCAGGTATAACCGCAGCCCCATCATGCTGGTAGAGAACAAGCTGGGGGTGGAGAGCTGGTGTGTCAAGTTCCTGCTCCCCTACGTCCACAACAAGCTAGTGCTCTACAGGCAGCGCAAACAGTGGCTGGACAGGGAAGGTAAGAAGAAGAATACTTTATTGTCCAGTTTCCTAACAGTCCACAGAAATGTATTTTTGCTTTTAATCCAACCCCCCCGAGAGAGACATACACACATTTCCCCAGAGGGGGTTGGAAGCACAGGTCCACCATGATGCAGCTTTACCCTCTGGAACAGTTCAAGGTTAAGTGTCTTGCTCAAGGGCACAACGGCAGGAGATGGCATCAACACATTTTCATACCTGCTGCTTTTAGGACAGGGAATGTAACACCTTCTGTACAGCTGCTGGCTTTGGGACTTCTCGCTGTAGATAGGAAGGGTTACTGTGCGCTGTAGATAGGAAGGGTTACTGTGCGCTGTAGATAGGAAGGGTTACTGTGCGCTGTAGATAGGAAGGGTTACTGTGCGCTGTAGATAGGAAGGGTTACTGTGCGCTGTAGATGGGAAGGGTTACTGTGCGCTGTAGATAGGAAGGGTTACTGTGCGCTGTAGATGGGAAGGGTTACTGTGCGCTGTAGATAGGAAGGGTTACTGTGCGCTGTAGATAGGAAGGGTTACTGTGCGCTGTAGATGGGAAGGGTTACTGTACGCTGTAGATAGGAAGGGTTACTGTGCTCTGTAGATAGGAAGGGTTACTGTGCGCTGTAGATAGGAAGGGTTACTGTGCGCTGTAGATAGGAAGGGTTACTCGCTGTAGATGGGAAGGGTTACGCGCTGTAGATAGGAAGGGTTACTGTGCGCTGTAGATGGGAATGGTTACTGTGCGCTGTAGATGGGAAGGGTTACTGTGCGCTGTAGATAGGAAGGGTTACTGTGCGCTGTAGATAGGAAGGGTTACTGTGCGCTGTAGATGGGAAGGGTTACTGTGCGCTGTAGATGGGAAGGGTTACTGTGCGCTGTAGATGGGAAGGGTTACTGTGCGCTGTAGATAGGAAGGGTTACTGTGCGCTGTAGATAGGAAGGGTTACTGTGCGCTGTAGATGGGAAGGGTTACTGTACGCTGTAGATAGGAAGGGTTACTGTGCTCTGTAGATAGGAAGGGTTACTGTGCGCTGTAGATAGGAAGGGTTACTGTGCGCTGTAGATAGGAAGGGTTACTCGCTGTAGATGGGAAGGGTTACGCGCTGTAGATAGGAAGGGTTACTGTGCGCTGTAGATGGGAAGGGTTACTGTGCGCTGTAGATAGGAAGGGTTACTGTGCGCTGTAGATGGGAAGGGTTACTGTGCGCTGTAGATAGGAAGGGTTACTGTGCGCTGTAGATAGGAAGGGTTACTGTGCGCTGTAGATGGGAAGGGTTACTGTGCGCTGTAGATAGGAAGGGTTACTGTGTGCTGTAGATAGGAAGGGTTACTGTGCGCTGTAGATAGGAAGGGTTACTGTGCGCTGTAGATGGGAAGGGTTACTGTGCGCTGTAGATAGGAAGGGTTACTGTGCGCTCTAGATGGGAAGGGTTACTGTGCGCTGTAGATAGGAAGGGTTACTGTGCGCTGTAGATGGGAAGGGTTACTGTGCGCTGTAGATGGGAAGGGTTACTGTGCGCTGTAGATAGGAAGGGTTACTGTGCGCTGTAGATGGGAAGGGTTACTGTGCGCTGTAGATGGGAAGGGTTACTGTGCGCTGTAGATAGGAAGGGTTACTGTGCGCTGTAGATAGGAAGGGTTACTGTGCGCTGTAGATAGGAAGGGTTACTGTGCGCTGTAGATAGGAAGGGTTACTGTGCGCTGTAGATGGGAAGGGTTACTGTGCGCTGTAGATGGGAAGGGTTACTGTGCGCTGTAGATGGGAAGGGTTACTGTGCGCTGTAGATGGGAAGGGTTACTGTGCGCTGTAGATAGGAAGGGTTACTGTGCTCTGTAGATGGGAAGGGTTACTGTGCGCTGTAGATAGGAAGGGTTACTGTGCGCTCTAGATGGGAAGGGTTACTGTGCGCTGTAGATAGGAAGGGTTACTGTGCGCTGTAGATGGGAAGGGTTACTGTGCGCTGTAGATAGGAAGGGTTACTGTGCGCTGTAGATAGGAAGGGTTACTCGCTGTAGATAGCAAGGGTTACTGTACTCTGAAGGGCTATGCCTAAAACATTGGTTTCTAGAGAAAGGAAGAAGTTGTGGTCTAAGTCATATAAATTTAACTTTTGGGGATGTGGCTAAATCCTGTCGTTATCATTTTGGACTGAAATAATTTATTGTACCAAACAAAATGGGCATTATAGATGGCTTTACTTGTTTTTTAAATAATCAGTTGATATAATCTGACCTGTCTCTGTCTCTTCCTCTTCCAGCTCTGGTAGACATCACCTGCACTCTGCTGCTGCTCAACCCAGACTTCACCACTGCTTGGAATGTCAGGTAAGAACTCCGGCTCTGGGTTGTGTAAAGGCTATGATGTGTATATGTTGTGGCCACATTGAACAAGCCCTCTAAATAGACCCACTCCATCCTCTCACTCCCCATTGGCTATACCAGGGGTGGGCAACATATGGGAGGTTTGAGTAAAAATTAGGGTTTTTGGGCGGGGGGGGGGGGGGGATTATTATTTTGGGGTAAACACTCCAGACCAATCTTCAACATGTAAAACTAGATAGAAAGTATGTAGAAATTATAATGGACCTATACGTTTTGAAATAACTGCCAAGACGACGCCTAAGGGTCAGTACGCCCTTCCCCCTCTGAGGGGCCAAAATGGATCTCTCTGTTAAAGTATCCAGAGGACTGACTATTGTGACAAAATAATACTATATATCCATGTCTGGTTTCTATCTGAAACGTGTCCTCTGATGCTGTCTATATGGATGTATGATCTCTGTGGTAACTTGTGTCTGGACAGGGTGAATTCTGAATTACTATATGCAAAAAAGGTTTTATGATCCTCTCAGGAATTCTGTCTTATTTCACAGTGGTCTCATCCCCCGCACAAGCCTTTAGATGCTGGAGCTATCATATCTTGGGCAGCTATAGTCTGGATTAGTTTCTGCCTGATTGAGTTTAGATCAATCTGCTCAACTCAAGAGTATCGTGTAAATCATTCATTGACGTAAACAGGAGACTTGGTGAAAAATCTAGTTGAGTGATCTGATCTATAGTCGTACTACAGTCAGAATCTGACAAGGCAATGCATGGTACTGACCCAGATATGGCCCATCGTTATCATCAGAGACTAGCAGCGGCCTCTCTCTTCCCTGCTTTAGGTTTCTGGTTGCCAAATGGCACCCTATTCCCTATATAGTGTACTACTTTTGTAGGGAACAGGATGCCATTTGGGACCCAGCCTCTCTCGACCCAGCCTCTCTCGACCCAGCCTCTCTCGACCCAGCCTCTCGACCCAGCCTCTCTCGACCCAGCCCAGCTCTGTTGGTTATTAGGGTTCTGGATGAGATCCAGTCACTGTGTCCTGCTGGCCTGTGACCTGCTTCTCTCTCTCTGCTGCTCTTTCATATATATATGGGCCCTGTGTAGCTCAGTTGGTAGAGCATGGCGCTTGCAACGCCAGAGTTGTGGGTTCGATTCCCACGGGTGGCCAGTATGAAAAAAAAAAAAAAAAAAGTAGCCTGGCCTCGATGTTGGACTTGGTAGTTGATTCTTGTTTCAGGCAGTTATCCTCATCAGTGAGTTCGAGTTCATAAGTGCAGTTCATTTATATCAAGGGGATGCGAGACGTGAAGCAGCTGTTTTAAAATCCAGCTGTTTGTACCCTATTACACGTGATACCTTCAACTTGTGCTTACAGTTTTGGCCAGGAGATGGAGCTAAATATCAAATTTTAACCATATGCGCTACAGAGGTTTAACATGTATAACGGCAGTGTTATTCAACCTTCCTGGAGAGCTTTTGTTCGAACTCGGCACTAACACACCCAATTCAGTTAATCACTAGTCATCAAGGTGTTTTAGTGCTGGGTTGGAATATAAACCTGCACACACACCCTGTGTTGGTCTCCAGGACTTGGATTGAAGAACATTTTACAGGGAGGTATTTTAAGGGTTTGTGACTCTGGGCCGGTTTCCTGGACACAGACTAAACCTAGTCCTGGACTAAAAAGCAGGCTCAATGGAGAATATCAACAGAGAATGGTTTTTAGTCGAGGCTTAATCTGTGTCTGGGAATCCGTCCCTGTGTGTGTTGGTGTCTCCAAACCTGTTGTTCTGTTGATGACATTTTCTTTAACACATTGCCCTGACTCCCAACACCGTCTACTGCCCTGAACCAATCAGCTCAGCTTAGTCTTCCCCCTGAGTGCAGAGTGGACCCAACAGCGTTAAGACACAGGTCCTCCCTTCAAAGACAACACCCTGGTCAAATCATTCTGTCATACCAAATGGCCGTATCCAACTGTCAAGGTCACGACCTAACCTGTGCCTGTTGAATTGGATTAAACCAAGGCCTTCTTCCCCAAACAGAGAATATAACCTCAGTCAGCAGCGTTGCCATGGTGGATTTAGTCTGTGAGTTTTTGTATTTTTGACTAGACTCTTTTTCTGTCATCGAGCTCCTAACCCTCTTTGAGGCATGTATGTGAGAGAAAGAGAATTGATCAGTTATTTTGTGGAGTGTTTCTTAAAACAAACACAAGTATGCAAATAGCATACACAAAACTACAATGCAGTAACAAAATATTCACATCAGGAGCATTGAGAGAGTCATCAAGTCATTGAATAGTTCCTCTGTCTGTTCTGCTCTGGCAGGAAGGAACTGCTGCAATGTGGAGCCCTGAGTCCAGAGAGAGACCTGTACCTGGGAAAACTGGCCCTCACCAAGTTCCCCAAGAGCCCTGAGACATGGATACACAGGTAGGACTGGTCGGGGGGGGGGGGTTCACGTTAGTTTTTAAATATTAAACTGTAACTGTTAGGGATTGGATGGAAAAGGCGATACAGTTACATATCGGGATGGTATTTCTGACGATATGTCGTATCGTTTTGACGATATCGCAATAGTAGTTTTGCGCTAGTTGGTTGTAACTGCACCAAAACAAAGCTATTTGTTTTCAGCTTACGGTGAGCAATATGTTTGGAACATCGAATCGCATTAAAATCACAGTATCAAATAGCAATACATATAGAGTCGTAGAATCGCAATACATAATTATCGTGAAAAGGAATCGTGAGGTCCCTGGCAATTCTGGGCGGCAGGTAGCTTAGTGGGTAAGAGCGTTGTGCCAGTAACCGAAAGGTCGCTGGTTCTAATCCCCGAGCCAACTAGGTGAAAAATCTGTCGATGTGCCCTTGAGCAAGGCACTTAACCCTAATTGCTCCTGTAAGTCGCTCTGGATAAGAGCGTCTGCTAAATGACTAAAATGTAAATGTAATTCCCAGCCCTAGCAACTGTGACGATTTTTACGATGCACGTCTCGTCGCCAGTGGACCAAAATACACTATATATTCAAAAGTATGTGGACACCCCTTCAAATTAGTGGATTTGGCTATTTCAGCCACACCCGTTGCTGACAGGTGTATAAAATCGAGCACACCGCCATGCAATCTCCATAGACAAACATTGGCAGTAGAATGGCCTTACTGAAGAGCTCAGTGGCTTTCAATGTGGCACCGTCATAGGATGCCTCCGTTACAAGAAGTCAGTTCGTCAGATTTGTGCCCTGCTAGAGCTGCCCCGGTCAACTGTAAGTGCTGTTATTGTGAAGAGAAAACGTCTAGGGGCAACAACGGCTCAGCCGCAAAGCGGTAGGCCACACAATCTCACCGAACGGGACCGCCGAGTGCTGAAGCCCATATCACGTAAAAATCACCTGTCCTTGGTTGCAACACTCACTACTGAGTTCCCAACTGCCTCTGGAAGCAACGTCAGCACAATAACTGTTCGTCGGGAGCTCATGAAATGGGTTTCCATGGCCAAGCAGCCGCACACAAGCCTAAGATCACCATGCACAATGCCAAGCGTCGGCTGGAGTGGTGTAAAGCTTGCCGCCATTGGACTGTGGAGCAGTGGAAACGCGTTCTCTGGAGTGATGAATCACGCTTCACCATCTGGCAGTCCGATGGACGAATCTGGTTTTGGCGGATGCCAGGAGAACGCTACCTGCCCCAATGCATAGTGCCAACTGTAAAGTTTGGTGGAGGAGGAATAATGGTCTGGGGCTGTTTTTCATGGTTTGGGCTAGGCTCCTTAGTTCCAGTGATGAGAAATCTTATCGCTACAGCATACAATGGCATTGTAGATGATGCTGTGCTCCCGACTTTGTGGCAACAGTTTGGGGAAGGCCCTTTCCTGTTTCAGCATGGCAATGTCCCCGTGTGTCTACATACTTTTGGTAATGTAGTGTACTTTAGTGCCTCTAAACTGATAGCATTTATAGGTTCCACTGTAAATATTCTCACTCACTCACGCACATAAATATAAAGAAAAACCTTTGAATGAATAGGTGTGTCCAAACTTTTGACTGATACTGTGTGTGTATATATATACACACAGTGGGGAGAACAAGTATTTGATACTTTGCAGGTTTTCCTACTTACAAAGCATGTAGAGGTCTGTACTTTTTATCATAGGTACACTTCAACTGTGAGAGACGGAATCTAAAACAAAAATCCAGAAAATAACATTGGATGATTTTTAAGTAATTAATTTGCATTTTATTGCATGACATAAGTATTTGATCACCTACCAACCAGTAAGAATTCCGGCTCTCACAGACCTGTTAGTTTTTCTTTAAGAAGCCCTCCTCTTCTCCACTCATTACCTGTATTAACTGCACCTGTTTGAACTCATTACCGGTATAAAAGAAACCTGTCCACACACTCAATCAAACAGACTCCAACCTCTCCACAATGGCCAAGACCAGAGAGCTGTGTAAGGACATCAGGGATAAAATTGTAGACCTGCACAAGGCTGGGATGGGCTACAGGACAAAAGGCAAGCAGCTTGGTGAGAAGGCAACAACTGTTGGCGCAATTATTAGAAAATGGAAGAAGTTCAAGATGACGGTCAATCACCCTCGGCCTGGGGCTCCATGCAAGATCTCACCTCGTGGGGCATCAATGATCATGAGGAAGGTGAGGGATCATCCCAGAACTACACGGCAGGACCTGGTCAATGACCTGAAGAGAGCTGGGACCACAGTCTCAAAACATTTACATTTACGTCATTTAGCAGACGCTCTTATCCTGGGACCACAGTCTCAAAGAAAACCATTAGTAACACACTACGCCGTCATGGATTAAAATCCTGCAGCGCACGCAAGGTCCCCCTGCTCAAGCCAGCACATGTCCAGGCCCGTCTGGAGTTTGCCAATGACCATCTGGATGATCCAGAGGAGGAATGGGAGAAGGTCATGTGGTCTGATGAGACAAAAATAGAGCTTTTTGGTCTAAACTCCACTCGCCGTGTTTGGAGGAAGAAGGATGAGTACAACACCAAGAACACCATCCCAACCGTGAAGCATGGAGGTGAAACATCATTCTATGGGGATGCTTTTCTGCAAAGGGGACAGGATGACTGCACCGTATTGAGGGGAGGATGGATTGGAGGGAGCTGAAAGTCTGTATTGCCCAGCAACAGCCCTGAAACCTGAAGGATCTGGAGAAGGTCTGTATGGAGTAGTGAGCCAAAATCCCTGCTGCAGTGTGTGCAAACCTGGTCAAGACCTACAGGAAACGTATGATCTCTGTAATTGCAAACAAAGGTTTCTGTACAAAATATTAAGTTCTGCTTTTCTGATGTATCAAATACTTATGTCATGCAATAAAATGCAAATTAATTACTTAAAAATCATACAATGTGATTTTCTGGATTTTTACAGACCTACATGCTTTGTAAGTAGGAAAACCTGCAAAATCGGCAGTGTATCAAATACTTGTTCTCCCCACTGTATATACACACAAACACACTCTTGCACTGTACTCGACACACACACATACTACACTGACACTCCAACACATGCATACACACACACACCCTATATTGCATATTGACGCCACGCACACTCACGCACACTCACGCACACTCACACATACTCTTTCACCCTCTTCACACGATGCTACTATTCTGTTTATCTATCCTGATTGGCTAGTCACTTTTACTGCTACCTACATGTACATTTTACCTCGTACCCGTTGTTTTTATTTTGTGCCAATTTTCGTACTTTTTAACTCTGCATTGTTGGGAATGGGCTCGTAAGTGGGAGAGGGAGGGATGGGTGATGGAGAGAAAGAGGGTGGAGAAAAACGGAGGATAAGAAAGAGCGAGAGAAACAGGTAGGCACAGAAAGAGGGTGAGAGCGATGAGTTAAGAGATTTATTTTGAGAGACAGAGTGGACCAGGTCAGCCTACTTCCCACAGTTTACCAGCGAGCGGGAGCAAGGTTTTAACTTCACTCCCTGCCGGGAGGCCGTATAATCATATCCCATCAGATAGACACCCTGCCTGCCCCAAGGGAGCCTGGGAGATTAGTAGGGTCACGTGGTCATCACTGCCCTGGCCTGGGTTTCATTCAGATTATTGGAGGGGGAGGAAGGGAGAGAGGGGGAGGAAGGGAGAGGGGAAGGAAGCGAGAGAGAGAGAGAGGAAGAGCGAGAGAGGGGGGGAGAGAGAGAGAGAGGGGGAGGAAGAGAGAGAGAGGGGAGGGAAGAGAGAGAGAGAGAGAGGGAGGGAGGTAAAGGAGGGAGAGAGAGGGCGGGAGAGGGATGGAGAGGGTGAAAGATGAAGGGTGAGAAGAAAAGAGAGGGAAGGATGGAGGTTGAAGGAGAAGTAGAGATATTACCCCCTAACATCTGTGCCATGCAAGGTCATGGCATGGCTGTTTTTGTGTGGGAATTGTGCTGCCTGCTAGTGAGGGGAGAGGAGGTTCCAGAGGGGGATTCCAGCAGCAGTGTGTTTACACCTCTAGCTCAGTGGGATTCCATGTCGGGATCTGTAGTGGGGTCGCCCAAAAAACTCAAACAAAAAGTTGTATGGGACAATATACAAACATTAAAAAAAAAAGATAATTAGAAAAATACAACTTATCGAGTAAATGTATTTATTGGTTTCTTTTCATTTTGATAAGAGATGGAAATCTATTGAATTGAAGGTTATTTGTTGATCAAATTAAAATGTACAATTTTTAAGGTTGTCGTTAGATTTGGGATGGGGTCGCGAGAATTTTTATTTGCCAAAGAAATGGGGTCCTCAGAAATTCTTGAGGGAAAAAAATTGGGTCCCCGCTGAAAAAGTTTTAATACCACTGATCTAGCCGTAGCATGTGAACAGAACAGGGATTATTATGTCATAGTAATGGAGGACGAACACATAGGTTTCATCCCAAATTTCATCCTATTCCCTATATAGTGCACTACTTTTGACAGGCTAAAGTAGTGCGCTACATAGGGAATAGGGTGCCATTTGGGACATATCCATGACCACGGTGAATGGTGGTTCCTACTTGACCATATATGGTGTTTACAGGACATGATCTGATATGACCCCAAATAGGGCTGTCCCCGACAAAATATAAAGTAATCTGTTCTTTCAACTAATCAATTGGTCGAAATCTTCAAATGTATATTTTTCCATATATAGACACACCCGATGTCTTTTTAATAGAATCAACTATATATGCAATGAGCTTGTCTGATGCTTTAAGCGGACTGTTTGATGAAATAAGACACATATTACTCAAGAGGGGTCCAAAGATCAAGATAACCATCCTCCTCCCGTTCCTCCCGGCCTCCCGAGTGGCACAGTGGTCTAAGGCACTGTATCGCAGTGCTAGCTGTGCCACTAGAGATCCTGGTTTGAATCCAGGCTCTGTCGTAGCCGGCCGCGACCGGGAGAACCATGGGGCGGCGCACAATTGGCCCAGCGTCGTCCAGGGTAGGGGAGAGAAGGGCCGGCAGGGATGTAGCTCAGTTGGTAGAGCATGGCGTTTGCAACGCCAGGGTTGTGTGTTCGATTCCCACGGGGGGCCAGTATGAAAAATAAAAAATAAATAATGTATGCACTCACTAACTGTAAGTCGCTCTGGATAAGAGCGTCTGCTAAATGATTAAAATGTAAGATTGTAAAATGTTCCTACTGGCTTTCGCAGATTCTGCCTTTACCTGAAGTTGCCGGTACATGAGGAGTCGCCAATTTATCTTACCAGTTCTACCGATCTGTGTGCCAGTTATGGTTTTCATATGCACATTTTGGTATCTCAAAATCATTGTCATGTGGTTAATTGAAATTCTATCCAAATCTAAATGAAAATGATACAAACCTAAAAAGTAACTTCAATTGCCATTGCCAACTATGTAAAAAATAGCCCATAAAGCCAACAAATAAAAACATTGCAGCCTGCAGGTAGAAAATATCCAGACAAAAATAAATATCCTATGAATCGCAAGGAATAAGAAGTAATCAGGTAGGCCTATTTTATGTTTCCACTTCATCAGAGCATTACATTTTTCCCTTTCAGGTTGAGTGGTTATCAAAAGGGGCTGGAAAGATTTTTCAAATACATTGAGAAACTATGGTCAATCTCAATGGATGTAAAAACAGACTTTGTTTACTTGGTGTTTTGAGGTGAAGAAAATGTTTCTTTGAGAAGCTCCACAGGTCATTAATGGTGGTGAGTTAAGACAATCAGAAATACTATCAGATCCCCAAATGTGGAAATTTGATACGCCTACATTTGCGCGCAGGCCAGTTAGCCTATAGGCCTACTTCTATGCGTAATAAGGAGCGGATCCTTACTCAACATTGACAGGAGCGCTCCAAACAAAAGACAATGACTAAATTGACAACTTGTATATGGAATGACATTTTTACATTTTAGACATTTAGCAGACTTACAGTTAGTAAACCAAAACTTGTTTCTCACAAGTGTAGCATAGGTTGTGCACTCTGCAAACAGTGTCCACTCCGACAATGAGAACGGTAAGACTGGAATAATATATTGAATGCATTAACAGAAATTATCGTAACCAATGATAGGAATGAAATTATAGGAATTAACGGTAAATGTACTACTGGTGAAGCATGTAATGGGGGAATTGATAAGACACTAACAGTCAAACGCAAACAATTCACACAATGAAGTTATGAAACAATGAACGTGCTGGAGAGAGAGGTGCATTGTGCATCTTAGTCACACTCCCCTTCTTCTTGGACTGTGCCATCCCCGTGGCCTCCACAATGGTTTAGTCCACTGAGATGGGCACGAATAACACAGGTGTCTCGTGTGCCATTAAAAACCAGTCAAAAGTTTGGACACACCTACTCATTCTAGGGTTCTTCTTTATTTTTATTTCATCAAAACTATGAAATGACACATGGAATCATATAGTAACCAAAAAAGTGTTAAACAAATCAAAATATATTTTATATTTGAGTTTCTTTAAATTAGCCACCCTTTGCCTTGATGACGGCTTTGCACACTCTTGGCATTCTCTCAACCAGCTTCATGAGGAATACTTTTCCATCAGTCTTGAAGGAGTTCCCACATATGCTGACCACTTGTTGGCGGCTTTTCCTTCACTCTGCGGTCCAACTCATCCCAAACCATCACAATTGGGTTGAGGTCAGGTGATTGTGGAGGCCAGGTCATCTGATGCAGCACTCCATCACCCTCCTTCTTGGTCAAATAGCCCTTACACAGCCTGGAAGTGTGTTGGGTCATTGTCCTGTTGAAAAACAAATGATAGTCCCACTAAGCCCAAACCAGATGGGATGTTGTATCGCTGCAGAGTGCTGTGGTAGCCATGCTGGTTAAGTGTGCCTTGAATTCTAAATAAATCAGACAGTGTCACCAGCAAAGCACCCCCACACCATCACACCACCTCCTCCATGCTTTACGGTGGGAAATACACATGCGGAGATCATCCGTTCACCCACACCGCGTCTCACAAAGACACAGCGGTTGGAACCAAAAATCTCAAAATTGGACTCCAGACCAAAGGACAAATTTCCACCGGACTAATGTCCATTGCTCGTGTTCCTTGGCCCAAGCAAGTCTCTTCTTCTTATTGGTGTCCTTTAGTAGAGGTTTCTTTGCACTTGAAGAAACTTTCAAAGTTCTTGAAATGTTCTGTATTGACTGACCTTCATGTCTTAAAGTAATGATGGACTGTCGTTTCTCTTTGCTTATTTGAGCTGTTCTTGCCATAATATGGACTTGGTCTTTTACCAAATAGGGCTATCTTCTGTATACCACCCCTACCTTGTCACAACACAACTGATTGCCTCATACGCATTAAGAAGGAAAGAAATTCCACAAATGCATTCCAGGTGACTACCTCATGAAGCTGGTTGAGAGAATGCCAAGAGTGTGCAAAGCTGTCATCAAAGCAAAAGGGTGGCTATTTGAAGAATCTCAAATATAAATTATATTTTGATTTGTTTAACACTTTTTTGGTTACTACATGATTCCATATGTGTTATTTCAGAGTTTTGATGTCTTCACTATTATTCTATAATGTAGAAAATAGTTTTAAAAAATAAAGAAAAACCCTTGAATGAGTAGGTGTTCTAAAACTTTTGACCGGTAGTGTGTGTATACACACACACACACCGTGCATTCGGAAAGTATTCAGACCCCTTGACCTTTCCACATTAAGTTACAGCCTTTTTCTTAAATGTATTAAATTGTTTTCTACACACAATACCCCATAATGACAAAGCAAAAACCAACAGCCTATGACCAAACAATCGACGAGTCGAGTAATTGGGGTCAGCCCTAACCCCATATGACCCCCCCATCTGACCAGCAAAGGGTTTAGCAGCCTGAGAAGACTTTGGTTGCCCCATGTATACTGAGAAATGCCACGGGAGTTGATATTTCACTGAAGAAGCCGTCTTGTATTGATGTTATCCATGTCGTTTTTGTGTCCAAGCTCTGTTGTTGAACCAAATGGTTAGGTTGTGGTTGGTTCTGGGTGTAGGGCTGTTGTTTTGGGAGCCAGCCGAGGGTGTTTGAAGTGTGTGTGTGGTGCGTGTCTCTAACATGTCCCCCGTGTTTCCAGGCGCTGGATACTACAGCAGGTGTTACGGGAGTGTTCTCCCCCCGTGCCGGACAGGAAGGAGCAGGGGGACGGTGATCGGCGTGACGCAGCAGATCGGATGCGTCTGAGTGAGCACCTCCACAGGGTCCTACACGACGAGATGAAGGTGTGTGCCGACGCCGCCGGCCGTTACCCTAGCAACTACAATGCCTGGTCGCACCGTATTTGGGTCCTGCAGAACATGGCCCCGGGCAACCTCAAGGTAGGAGTAGGACGAGATGGGCTCTACATCTGTCTCTCGCTCTCATTCTCTCTCATTCTCTCTCATTCTCTCTCTCCCTCTCCCTCTCCCTCTCCCTCTCCCTCTCCCTCTGCCTCTGCCTCTGCCTCTGCCTCTCTGCCTCTGCCTCTTAAATATAGCCTATGTTAATTGTACATGGTCTGTGTTAAAACAAAAGCTCTTTCAATGTAACCTCTCTGTGTTCTAGTCAGGCAGGCAGCTAGCAGGTCTTCTACTGCCAGGAAGGTCGGGAATCCTGACCGACCGGCCACTCTGTGTCAGTCAGGAGTGTTTATAGTGTCTCCAGCCTCTCTGCCTCACGCCTCATCTCTCTGGCCTGTCACTGTGCTTTTTCACCATGAGGATAGGACCATTCTGGTCCATTGAACTGATCTGGGGACAGCCAAGCCCCAAGGACTGAGCCCTAGGGATTTAAAGGTGTATGGAGAGTTTTTTGTTGTTGTGGCTCAGTGGATCCCAGTCTTGTTTTTAAGCCACAGTGGCATTCCCAGGATATGGAGTGATGCTATGGTTGGACCAGGGATATAGAGCTATGGTAGGACCAGGGATATAGAGCTATGGTAGGACCAGGGATATAGAGCTATGGTAGGACCAGGGATATAGAGCTATGGTAGGACCAGGGATATAGAGCTATGGACCAGGGATATAGAGCTATGGTTGGACCAGGGATATAGAGCTATGGTAGGACCAGGGATATAGAGCTATGGTAGGACCAGGGATATAGAGCTATGGTAGGACCAGGGATATAGCGCTATGGTAGGACCAGGGATATAGAGCTATGGTAGGACCAGGGATATAGAGCTATGGTTGGACCAGGGATATAGAGCTATGGTAGGACCAGGGATATAGAGCAATGGTAGGACCAGGGATATAGAGCTATGGTAGGACCAGGGATATAGAGCTATGGTAGGACCAGGGATATAGAGCTATGGTAGGACCAGGGATATAGAGCTATGGTAGGACCAGGGATATAGAGCTATGGTAGGACCAGGGATATAGAGCTATGGTAGGACCAGGGATATAGAGCTATGGTAGGACCAGGGATATAGAGCTATGGTAGGACCAGGGATATAGAGCTATGGTAGGACCAGGGATATAGAGCTATGGTAGGACCAGGGATATAGAGCTATGGTAGGACCAGGGATATAGAGCTATGGTAGGACCAGGGATATAGAGCTATGGTTGGACCAGGGATATAGAGCTATGGTTGGACCAGGGATATAGAGCTATGGTAGGACCAGGGATATAGAGCTAATGGCCTGGTACTCAGGACTCTATTGTCCCTCTAACCAGTCTGACATCAAGGCAAATGCAATTGAAAATCACATCAAACACAGTATCTGCTTTTAAAACTCACCTCACTGCGATAATCAATTTGAAGAAAAGTTCAACAGCAGGTTGAAACTGAGTAGAAAACATTGTCGTTGTGGATGTTGTTTCAAAGCCTAACACAATGAAATAGAGCGCTTTCTAAGGTGATGATTAATTCAAAACCTCATACGCATATTAGAGCTTATGGCATATGCTTATGAGCACAAGCCCCCCCCCCCCCCCCCCCCCCCCCCCCAAAAAAAAAAACGGAATTAAAATGATTTTGCTGTTTTACAATACATAGCCTACCGCATATTACGCACTGGCAGAAAAACATAAAACAAAACTGATTTAAGATGTCTTTGGTACATAATTGGTCTAGCCTATACTCCAAAATTAAACACATTTGAGTAATCACCTTTGAGGGTGGACTGTATTATTATACATACTGGATGGAGTGGTTAGCTTATGATATACTCAAATTTCTATCCAGGAGTCTGGGAGAGAATGTATAGGCCTAGTAGAGGCTGTTGGTTAATTGATTGTGCAGGGTGGCTTACAGTTAGCCTACAGTTATAGTGAATTTGTATTTGATTTTGAATAGCCTAGTCATAGGGATTTTTTTTATTTTTTTTTCATAATTAATTGAGTGACACTTTACCTTTTTAGCTATACAGAATATCTCATCACCGTGCGTTCCCATCTCCTCCTCTCTCTCCTTTATTCCTTTCTCGAGTGTGCAGCTGGGCTGTCAACAGTTTAGTGAAATATGTTTAGTTGCGAAAACGTTATTATCGATGTTCCCGAACAGATTTCACTTGGTTTCCCAAAATTAAGCACTGGGTAGCTGCAGGGACAGGGTTGGAGAGCCCATGACATACGGAGTTTGGGTGGAATATCACCTGTCGCGCAGCGAGAGCGTGCTCCTGAAACAGTGGTTGATGTGAGGAGTGAAATAAGTGTTCTTATAAGCCCAGACGTTTCTATATGCAATCCCGTGTGTAAGCAGACTTTTGATGGTTCCCACTAAAAAGAGGAGAATCCCAGCATTTCTCAGCTGCTCATATTTAGCACATGCTTCGCTATTAAACCGAATTAGCCTACCCGGCATCATCAAAAATGAACTGGCTGGAATGTGGCCTCCATGTGCTATTCTATTACATACGGATGACGTCTTTTTCCCCTGATCCTGTCCATTTGATAATGGGCCATTCTAAATCAAAAACTGATTTTACATATTAGTAAAGACAAGATTACATTGAGAATAGTCTGATAGGTGAAAATGTGATCATTTGATAAGAGAACAGCTTTGCAGCCTGAGGCAAGGAGCAGATGGGCAAGCTTTTTTTTTTTCAACTTTCTGAAATCATCAGTCGCCTGTAGTCGCATCATGCAGCCCATATATGTTTTGATTTCTAAGATGTTCCAAGGTTTGTATCATTCACAACTAAAGTTGCCAAATAACTCTAAATCTAGCATATAGGATCTGTTTCAAATGATCACTTTTACTTTCAACATAGCCACTTCATATGTGCCCTAGGTCCGGAATGGCAAAAATATCCTTTCTATTTTATTCAGTTATATTCTTCTTACTATAAAATCATATAATATAAAATAATAGCACAGGACTTAAAAGCATATCTTGTCAGCTAAATGAACAAGCCTACGGCATGGCGCTTAGCCAGATAACAACATACAGTAGGCAAACTCATATTCTGTTCTTCTGAAATTGATTTATTGTGATATTGGATATTAAATAGATTTTTAGACTTTTATTTTTATTTGTCGATGTTCCAAAGGTGCGCATCAACGGCTTGGATGAGTGGAGGCCTGGAAATGCTAAACATGTTTATGTTAATTTCACGGTCAGTTTTATGCATTACAATAAACTGGCTGACAAAATGCAATGACCGCCACGGCCCTAACCACGCCCTTCTCCGATGCTGGTTACAAAGCGGTACTTATTTAAATTAGGTAAGAGAATATCATGTTACCATTGATGTATTAAAATGAGAGAGTTAGGGTGATGTCACCCTATCTCCTTAATAATCCTACCTCCTGATCCAAGTGTTTTGATATGGTGGACCAGTAACTAAATGATTAAACTTTATCAATATAGAAGCAACAGTAATTTTTCATAATTTGGTCATCATACTTTGATCTGGTTTCATCCAAATATCATCAAATGTAATCTTTAATTTCCTTCTCTTTTCTGTGAAGTTGCTATTGTATTCTGCTCCAGTATAATGCTGTGCCCTCCGCTTATAAAAACCTCCCATTTGAATGAAACTGTGAATGAAATCGCCCATGATGATGAACTTACCATGAGATGTACTCCTGAGTGGCGCAGTGGTCTAAGGCACTGCATCACAGTGCTAACTGTGCCACTAGAGATCCTGGTTCGAATCCAGGCTCTGTCGCCGCCGGCCGCGACCGGGAGACTCATGGGCGGCGCACAATTGGCCCAGCGTTGTCCAGGGTAGGGGAGGGAATGGCCGGCAGGGATGTAGCTCAGTTGATAGCGCATGGCGTTTGCAACCCCAGGGTTGTGGGTTCGATTCCCACGGGGGGCCAGTATAAAAAAAAAAAAACGTATTCACTAACTGTAAGTCGCTCTGGATAAGAGCGTCTGCTAAATGACTAAACTGTAAACTGTAAACTATGAATGGTTATGCATATGGTTAGTGCTGTGCTGTAAGACCTCATTTTTCCTCCTTCCAGGTCCTCCATGACGAGCTCTCCTCTATGCGTCAGTGGGTCTCCATGCACGTGTCGGACCACAGTGGCTTCCACTACCGCCAGTTCCTGCTCAAGGCCCTGGTCAGGGAGCTCAGCCAGTCCCTGTCCTCCTCCTCTCCCCAGCACTACCATCCTCAGCCCAGCTCTAACCCTAGCCACAGCCCCCACACAGCCAACCCCCACCACCAGGCCAACGGAGAGGCCACAGCAGCAGCCCCCTGCCCCTCTCCCCCCTCCCCAGAGGACCTGGCCTCGGTGCCGGCAGTGCCCCAGCTCTTCCACCAGGAGGTGGAACTATGTACTGACCTCATCAAGTCTTTCCCCGGACACGAGACACTCTGGTGTCACAGGTACGAGCCTACAGGACAATATCACTACAGACAAAAAGGGAAACCCAGACACGTCACGGGTATAAATCTGAAGCATGCGTTTAGAACTTCGACTCACCACCAAATATGGTCCAGTGGCGGGAAGTGGGAGAAGATGGAGCTAGATAAAACTTGGCCGGCATTCTGCACATTTTGTAATCAATCAAACATTTGATCTCAATACCATTTTCTGTTCCAAAAACTATAATCTGTTACGAAAAGTATTGCATTTTTTAGAAGGAGTGCAAGGGTGAATTGAGTTATTGCACACACACACGCACACACACACACATCAGAGTAGGCGTTCCCTAATGGAAATGTGCAAATAAATGCTAAAACACGCCAATAGGATCTCGCTAGCTCGTGCATGGCTGTGCCCACCTCCTTGCTTGTTCTACGAACTATGCTTAATTTGCTTCCATTGGAAACTACGCCAGTGATAAATCTTGGGTTAGTTATAAGTGTCTTTGATATTACGGTCACTCAACCTGGGACTACAATGTTAGCCAACCACAGAACACATTTTATATTGACACGCTCTGGCATCACAGGCAGGAGCATACAGGAACTCCACGTCGCTTTATCTAGGGTGTAGCCTAACTCCAGCCTTAGTCATAGACACTGTCTCACTACCTTCAATATTGGTGGCAAATGCTTTATTATGCCAATCATGTTTATTCTCAGTTAGACCATGACAATGTTCTCAGGAGTGGATGTGATGTGATGGGATGTGTTGATGGGCCGTTATCATGACATTGATGTTGTTTTGCTGTGGAACATTATTTATTCTTCTAGAGGGGAAGAACAGTGAGGGAGAACGGAGCGAGAAGAGAGGGAGAGATTAAGACGAGAGAGCAAGGGAGAGGGATAACAGAGAGAGATGGACAACAGAGAGAGGGGGAGAGAAGGAGAAGATATGTTTTGCCCCTGGGCTGAAGACCTGCTGCACAGTAGAAAGTGTTTATACCTGACCAGCTTTGTTGTGATAGGGAGAAGTGAGGGGTGCCATGGCAACAGTGTTCATATCCTTGTTGATTGTGCGAGACTGATATATACCTCTTAGGTTTTAAATATATATATATATATATATATATATATATATATATATATATATATATATATATATATATATTTTTACATCACAGCAGTTGTACTACACCTCAAATACTTTATTAAAAAGGATATTGTTTTTTAGCTTACATAGTTTTGTATCTTTTCTCTTTTCCCCCTTAAAAACAGTTTTTATTTTTTTAAGCTTCACATTCCCTACAGATAAATAATAAATCACCTACAAGGCTTTGCAGTGTAGCCTACTGTATCACATGAACATGATTCTAGTCCAATGCTCATGCGGTATTTCATAACCACTATCTTCTCAAGGCGACTCGTCTTCTATCTGTGGCACAACTGGAGGAGGGACCACGACCACCACAACGGCCAGGGCTTTGACAGCGAGTCTCCCCAGCCGAACCACACCGACACTGGGCTGAGCAGCCACCCTCACACAGCCTGCCCTGGAGGTGTGCGTCTAGACAGGGTGCAGCGCAGGAACGGACCGGCTCGGCAGGGTCAGGATGCCATGGAGGTGGACGTGGTGGATGTCGGTGTCCCGGACCCCCGCGACACCAAGCGTCTGAAGAGGGGTCCCCCTGGCCCCTGCCCCCATGCTCTGCCCTCAGAGCACAGCTTCGTAGCCAGTGTCCTGGACGGCTGCCGCTCCCCCGAGCAGGGACGCTTCGCCCTCGCATACAGGAAGTGGCTGGACTCTGTGATTGGTCAGTGAGATATAGACTGACTCGGTCATTGGTCAGTGAGAGGAAACACTTCCTGTTCCATTAGGGCGAGAACTGCTAAAAACTGTCCCTAGATCAGCGTCTAGTGGCTGGTCAATTCATGCTATTCTTCAAGACTCGGGAAGGGGGCTGGGGGTCTCTGATAGGTCAAGTTATTTGTGGCCCCTCCCACCCTCCTGGAAATGGCTGGACTCTGATTCATCCGCAGAGCTTTGTCTGAGCCAATCCCCCTTCGGAATGGAAATCTGAGAAGGGCTCTGCTCTGGCAGAGTATGGCTCCTTGGCCTGTGTCGGTTAGTAGCCTTATTTCAGGTCTCTCTCAATGTTAGGGACTAGAACAACCATTCTGTCAGTCGTTTTAGTTTTTTTCACTTATGAGATTCATTCATCATGTGACCTTTGCATCATTCCTTTTGTCTTCCACTAACTGTAGCAGAATAGCCTATGTGAAGCTGCCATGGTTATAGGTTATCCATCAGTCATCTTGTCGTTATCTAGTCAGTTCTGCAGAATTAAACTACTGACCACTGTGAGATGAGCAGTGCAGCAAATTATTAATTGTCAGCATACAAAAACAAAGAACGAAAAACTAGCCATAGTGCCCTGGTCAAAAGTAGTGCACTATATAGGGAATAGGGTGACATTTGGGACCAAAAGTAGTGCACTATATAGGGAATAGGGTGCCATTAGTCTTTGTTTCACCCTCTTAGTGGTACTTACTCTTTAGTGATACCTGGGATTGTATTCACAAAGTGTTATATTACAAGTACTTATATAGGATCAGTTTGGCCCTTTCGATCATAATGGTTACTATTACAGTGGGGGAAAAAAGTATTTAGTCAGCCACCAATTGTGCAAGTTCTCCCACTTAAAAAGATGAGAGAGGCCTGTAATTTTCATCATAGGTACCCGTCAACTATGACAGACAAATTGAGATTTTTTTTCTCCAGAAAATCACATTGTAGGATTTTTTATGAATTTATTTGCAAATTATGGTGGAAAATAAGTATTTGGTCAATAACAAAAGTTTCTCAATACTTTGTTATATACCCTTAGTTGGCAATGACACAGGTCAAACGTTTTCTGTAAGTCTTCACAAGGTTTTCACACACTGTTGCTGGTATTTTGGCCCATTCCTCCATGCAGATCTCCTCTAGAGCAGTGATGTTTTGGGGCTGTCGCTGGGTAACACAGACTTTCAACTCCCTCCAAAGATTTTCTATGGGGTTGAGATCTGGAGACTGGCTAGGCCACTCCAGGACCTTGAAATGCTTCTTACGAAGCCACTCCTTCGTTGCCCGGGCGGTGTGTTTGGGATCATTGTCATGCTGAAAGACCCAGCCACGTTTCATCTTCAATGCCCTTGCTGATGGAAGGAGGTTTTCACTCAAAATCACATGATACATGGCCCCATTCATTCTTTCCTTTACACGGATCAGTCGTCCTGGTCCCTTTGCAGAAAAACAGCCCCAAAGCATGATGTTTCCACCCCCATGCTTCACACTAGGTATGGTGTTCTTTGGATGCAACTCAGCATTCTTTGTCCTCCAAACACGATGAGTTGAGTTTTTACCCCAAAAATTATATTTTGGTTTCATCTGACCATATGACATTCTCCCAATCCTCTTCTGGATCATCCAAATGCACTCTAGCAAACTTCAGACGGGCCTGGACATGTACTGGCTTAAGCAGGGGGACACGTCTGGCACTGCAGGATTTGAGTCCCTGGCGGCGTAGTGTGTTACTGATGGTAGGCTTTGTTACTTTGGTCCCAGCTCTCTTGCGTGGAGCCCCAGATCGAGGGAGATTATCAGCGGTCTTGTATGTCTTCCATTTCCTAATAATTGCTCCCACAGTTGATTTCTTCAAACCAAGCTGCTTACCTATTGCAGATTCAATCTTCCCAGCCTGGTGCAGGTCTACAATTTTGTTTCTGGTGTCCTTTGACAGCTCTTTGGTCTTGGCCATAGTGGAGTTTGGAGTGTGACTGTTTGAGGTTGTGGACAGGTGTCTTTTATACTGATAACAAGTTCAAACAGGTGCCATTAATACAGGTAACGAGTGGAGGACAGAGGAGCCTCTTAAAGAAGAAGTTACAGGTCTGTGAGAGCCAGAAATCTTGCTTGTTTGTAGGTGACCAAATACTTATTTTCCACCACAATTTGCAAATAAATTCATAAAAAATCCTACAATGTGATTTTCTGGAGAAAAAAAATCTCAATTTGTCTGTCATAGTTGACGGGTACCTATGATGAAAATTACAGGCCTCTCTCATCTTTTTAAGTGGGAGAACTTGCACAATTGGTGGCTGACTAAATACTTTTTTTCCCCACTGTACATGGTCAGCCCAGCCAGTCAATCTCCCCTCGAAAAAAGCGTATTTTCCCAATGCTTCTAACCTAGCGTTTGGTACAGCGGGGTAATAGCTGAGTCTTGCTGTGTGACTATCCGACCTGTGGAAGGTTGCTGGATCGAATCCCCGAGCTGACAAGGTAAAAATCTGTCGTTGTGCCCCTGAGCAAGGCGGTTAACCCACTGTTCCCCGGGCGCTGACGACGTGGATGTCGATTAAGGCAGCCCCACCGCACCTCTGATTCAGAGGGGTTGGGTTAAATGCGGAAGACACATTTCAGTTGAATGCATTGTTGTTCAACTGACTAGGTATCCCCCTTTTCCTTCCCTTTCCCAACATGTTGTGGTTCATTTTGTTGTGATCTCCACAGTGCATATGAACGTGACGAGACTGACAGCTTCTCTGATCCAGGCGAATTCATTTATCAGGATCATTATAATGAATATATCCAAAGAATTGGCAATAGAAACGAAGTTAAAACAAACGAAAATGCACATAGTTTGTTGTCATTTCAGCTGCTTGATGTCACTGTGTATTAGCTTTAGTTGGCTAGCTAGCAAAGGAGAAGTACCGTTAGCCTAGCTATCCCATAAATATCTTATTGACTCGACAATCAGCTGGTTGTTGCCTATTTATAAAGTATTTATTAAATCATTATTTATTGAAGTTCTCGTCTCTTGTCATCACTGAACCTCTGCTAGCTAGCTACATGGCAATGATTTGTTTAGCATAGCAAAGTGGAATGAATAGAATGAAAGACTGGGTCAAAACATAATAGAGTTTATGACCAGCCTGTTTGCACTGGTGGATTTACCATTAGGCAGAAGAGGTAATTGCCTCAGGACTCATGAGCTGGGCATAAAATAAAATAAACATTTTAAATTTAAATAATTTCTCAGCTTGAGGCCCCCCAATGCTCCGCTCGAGGCATTATTTATATATATATATATACAGTGAGGGAAAAAAGTATTTGATCCCCTGCTGATTTTGTAAGTTTGCCCACTGACAAAGAAATGATCAGTCTATAATTTTAATGGTAGGTTTATTTGAACAGTGAGAGACAGAATAACAACAAAAAAATCCAGAAAAATGCATGTCAAAAATGTTATAAATTGATTTGCATTTTAAAGAGGGAAATAAGTATTTGACCCCCTCTCAATCAGAAAGATTTCTGGCTCCCATGTGTCTTTTATACAGGTAACGAGCTGAGATTAGGAGCACACTCTTAATGGGAGTGCTCCTAATCTCAGTTTGTTACCTGTATAAAAGACACCTGTCCACAGAAGCAATCAATCAATCAGATTCCAAACTCTCCACCATGGCCAAGACCAAAGAGCTCTCCAAGGATGTCAGGGACAAGATTGTAGACCTACACAAGGCTGGAATGGGCTACAAGACCATCGCCAAGCAGCTTGGTGAGAAGGTGACAACAGTTGGTGCGATTATTCGCAAATGGAAGAAACACAAAAGACCTGTCAATCTCCCTCGGCCTGGGGCTCCATGCAAGATCTCCCATCGTGGAGTTGCATTGATCATGAGAACGGTGAGGAATCAGCCCAGAACTACACGGGAGGATCTTGTCAATGATCTCAAGGCAGCTGGGACCATAGTCACCAAGAAAACAATTGGTAACACACTACGCCGTGTTGTGGTCAGATGAGACCAAAATGGAGCTCTTTGGCATCAACTTAACTCGCTGTGTTTGGAGGAGGAGGAATGCTGCATATGACCCCAAGAACACCATCCCCACCGTCAAACATGGAGGTGGAAACATTATGCTTTGGGGGTGTTTTTCTGTTAAGGGGACAGGACAACTTCACTGCATCAAAGGGACGATGGACGGCGCCATGTACTGTCAAATCTTGGGTGAGAACCTCCTTCCCTCAGCCAGGGCATTGAAAATGGGTCGTGGATGGGTATTCCAGCATGACAATGACCCAAAACACACGGCCAAGGCAACAAAGGAGTGGCTCAAGAAGAAGCACATTAAGGTCCTGGAGTGGCCTAGCCAGTCTCCAGACCTTAATCCCATAGAACATCTGTGGAGGGAGCTGAAGATTCGAGTTGCCAAACGTCAGGCTCGAAACCTTAATGACTTGGAGAAGATCTGCAAAGAGGAGTGGGACAAAATCCCTCCTGAGATGTGTGCCAACCTGGTGGCCAAATACAAGAAACGTCTGACCTCTGTGATTGCCAACAAGGGTTTTGCCACCAAAGTACTAAGTCATGTTTTGCAGAGGGGTCAAATACTTATTTCCCTAATTAAAATGCAAATCAATTCATAACATTTTTGACATGTGTTTTTCTGGATTTTTTTGTTGTTATTCTGTCTCTCACTGTTCAAATAAACCTACCATTCAAATTATAGACTGATCATGTCTTTGTCAGTGGGCAAACGTACAAAATCAGCAGGGGATCAAATACTGTGTCACTAGAGATCCTGGTTCGAATCCAGGCTCTGTCGTAGCCGGCCGCGACCGGGAGACCCATGGGGCGGCGCACAATTGGCCCAGCGTCGTCCAGGGTAGGGGAGGGAATGGCCGGCAGGGGATGTAGCTCAGTTGGTAGAGCATGGCGTTTGCAACGCCAGGGTTGTGGGTTCGATAAAATAATGTATGTGCTAACTGTAAGTCGCTCTGGATAAGAGCGTCTGCTAAATGACTTAAATGTAAATATATATATACACACACAGTTGAAGTAGGAAGTTTACATACACCTTAGCCAAATACATTTAAACTCAGTTTTTCACAATTCCTGACATTTAATCCTAGTACAAGTTCCCTGTCTTAGGTCAGTTAGGATCACCACTTTATTTTAAGAATGTGAAATGTCAGAATAATAGTAGAGTGATTTATTTCAGCTTTTATTTATTTCATCACATTCCCAGGGGGTCAGAAGTTTACATACACTCAATTATTATTTGGTAGCATTGCCTTTAAATTGTTTAACTTGGGTCAAACGTTTCGGGTAGCCTTACGCAAGCTTCCCACAATAAGTTGGGTGAATTTTGGCCCATTCCTTCTGACATAGCTGGTGTAACTGAGTCAGGTTTGTAGGCCTCCTTGCTCGCACACGCTTTTTCCGTTCTGCCCACACATTTTCTATAGGATTAAGGTCAGGGCTTTGTGATGGCCACTCCAATACCTTGACTTTGATGTCCTTAAGCCATTTTGCCACAACTTTGGAAATATGCTTGAAGTAATTGTCCATTTGGAAGACCCATTTGCGACCAAGCTTTAACTTCCTGACTGATGTCTTGAGATGTTGCTTCAATATATCCACATCATTTTCCTTCCTCATGATGCCATCTATTTTGTGAAGTGCACCAGTCCCTCCTGCAGCAAAGCACCCCCACATCATGATGCTGCCACCCCCGTGCTTCACGGTTGGAATGGTGTTCTTCGGCTTGCAAGCCATCCCCTTTTTCCTCCAAACATAACGATGGTCATTATGGCCAAACAGTTCTATTTTTGTTTAATCAGATCAGAGGGCATTTCTCCAAAAAGTACGATCTTTGTCCCCATGTGCAGTTGCAAACCGTAGTCTGGCTTTTTTATGGCGGTTTTGGAGCAGTGGCTTCTTTCTTGCGGAGCTGCCTTTCAGGTTATGTAGATATAGGACTCGTTTTACTGTAGATACTTTTGTACCTGTTTCCTCCAGCATCTTCACAAGGTCCTTTGCTGTTGTTCTGGGATTGATTTGCACTTTTCGCACCAAAGTACATTCATCTCTAGGAGACAGAACGCGTCTCCTTCCTGAGCGGTATGACGGCTGCGTGGTCCCATGGTGTTTATACTTGCGTACTATTGTTTGTACAGATGAACGTGGTACCGTCAGGCATTTGGAAATTGCTCCCAAGGATGAACCAGACTTGAGGAGGTCTACACATTTTTTTCTGACCTCTTGGCTGATTTCTTTTGATTTTCCCATGATGTCAAGCAAAGAGGCACTGAGTTTGAAGGTAGGCCTTGAAATATATCCACAGGTACACCTCCAATTGACTGAAATGATGTAAATTAGCCTATCAGAAGCTTCTAAAGCCACGACATCATTTTCTGGATTTTTCCAAGCTGTTTAAAGACACAGTCAACTTAGTGTATGTAAACTTCTGACCCACTTGAATTGTGATACAGTGAATTATACAGTGAGGGAAAAAAGTATTTGATCCCCTGCTGATTTTGGACGTTTGCCCACTGACAAAGAAATTATCAGTCTATAATTTTAATGGTAGATTTATTTGAACTGTGAGAGACAGAATAACAACGAAAACATCCAGAAAAATGCATGTCAAAAATGTTATAAATTGATTTGCATTTTAATGAGGGAAATAAGTATTTGACCCCTCTGCAAAACATGACTTAGTACTTGGTGGCAAAACCCTTGTTGGCAATCACAGAGGTCAGACGTTTCTTGTAGTTAGCCACCAGGTTTGCACACATCTCAGGAGGGATTTTGTCCCACTCCTCTTTGCAGATCTTCAAATACTTTTTTCCCTCACTGTACTTCCTTTTGATAAATTGTTTTACTTTTTCCATGTATGAATCTGTTATCCAATGTGTTTCTATGGGCTAATAGCAGGAAGGCCAAATTAAATGTTTTATCAAATAATTTGGATATATTTTTTTAAACCTACAGGGGTCCTATAATTCGAAATCAAATAGCTAAATGATCTTTGGTATGACAATGTTAAAACAATTCCATATGTTAGCTTAGTAGAAAACCAGCCCGGGCTCTTAGACTCTCTAAGGGGATACGATGCACATTTCTTTAGTAAAAAGACAGATGTCAAGCGTCGGCTAGAGTGGTGTATAGCTCGCCCCAAACGCCTTCTCTGGCAGGCCCAATGTATAATGCCAAATGTAAAGTTTGGTGGAGGAGGAATAATGGCCTGGGGCTGTTTTTCATGGTTCAGGCTAGGCCCCTTAGTTCCAGTGAAGGGAAATCTTAACGCGACAGCATACAATGACATTCTAGACGATTCTGTGCTTCCAACTTTGTGGCAACAGTTTGGGGAAGGCCCTTTCCTGTTTCAGCATGACAATGCCCCCGTGCACAAAGTGAGTTCCATACAGAAATGGTTTGTCGAGATCGGTGTGGAAGAACTTGACTGGCTTGCAAAGAGCCCTGACCTCAACCCCATTGAACACCTTTGGGATGAATTGGAACGCCGACTGCGAACCAGGCGTAATCGCCCAACATCAGTGCCCGACCTCACTAATGCTCTTGTGACTGAATGGATCAAGTCCATTCCTTCCCAGAAGAGTGGAGGCTGTTATAGCAGCAAAGGGGGAACCAACTCCATATTAACGCCCATGATTTTGGAATGAGATGTTCCACGAGCAGGTGTCCACATACCTTTGTTCCCAGGACGGGACTATTGTGTATTTTGATCACACCATCGCACGCTCTCTCTCGCTCTGTCTCACTCCCCTGTTTAACATTCAGCAAGCAAGAGCAAGCTGGAAACTCTCCTCGATAGGCTAGTAGTAGTAAATAATTATATTTTAGTGTAGCTTTTCCTGGGACTCGACTAAGAGGAATAGCTGTAGTAGCTGAGAGGTAGTGGAGGCCAGGTGCGTAGAACCATGAAGACAGGTGTAGCTAGCCTAAGTTATGTAGAAGCCATAATTCATTAGCTGAATATTAGGCCTAATACTGCAGTGAATAGCCTATACCCAATGAACTTACACAGTGAAATAAAAATTGTTAATCAGATTATGGAATGACAGGTAGCCTAGGACCCCAGGCTGCGCTCCCACTCCCCTCAGGCACACAGCTCGAACATCTCCCCAATTCATTAAGCTTTTTAGGGACAAGAAAATGATCATACCTAAGCTATAACAACACAATACAATAATGTTATTTTTTCTAGTGAGTAAATAATAGTCTAGGTTGTAAACTGCAGTGAATAGCCTATGCCATTTCAATAACCGCTAAAAAGCCCTGCGTTTTGAATGCATGTTTCATAATGAAATAATAATAATAATCCAAATGGATCAGTAATGGATATTTTCTATACAGTTTACAAGGTCCAGAAAGGCACATTAGCAGGTCATTCATAGTGTTTATTTTGTCAGGAGGCATCAACGTTAACAGATGGCCTACCATCGGAGAATATGGCCTTCTCATGCGCTGTTAATAGTGGATAATCTCCCAAGTCGTCCTATAATTAATGTGGCCAACAATATGCGCAGTCAGTTATTCAGCCTTTTCTACTCTCTGAGCAACTAGAACCAAGAACGCTTCAGTCTAACACGTTCTTGGTTGGTTGTCAATGTTTTATCATCGGCGGGACAGGTAAGAAATTGCACAAAGTGATCCAAACGATAGCTCTAATCGTTCTCCACTCTTTTTGTAGTTATCGTTGTAGTGTGAACGCTCCTGTTCACTTGAATTAGAACGTAGATTAAAGTATATATGTATATATATATACACACACAGTGCCTTCTGAAAGTATTCAGACCCCTTGACTTTTTCCACATTTTGTTAGGTTACAGCCTTATTCTAAAAAGGATAAAATTGTTTTTTTCCCTCATCAATCTGCACAAAATACCCAATAATGACAAAGCAAAAACAGACCCTTTACTCAGTACTTTGTTGAAGCACCTTTGGCAGCGATTACAGCCTCAAGTCTTCTTTGGTATGAGGGTACAAGCTTGGCACACCTGTATTTGTGGAGTTTCTCCCATTCTTCTCTGCAGATCCTCTCAAGCTCTGTCAGGTTGGATGGGGAACTTCGCTGCACAGCTATTTTCAGGTCTCTCCAGAGATGTTTGATTGGGTTCAAGTCCGGGCTCTGGCTGGGCCACTCAAGGACATTTCAGAGACTTGTCCTGAAACCACTCCTGCGTTGTCTTGGCTGTGTGCTTAGGGTCGTTGTCCTGTTGGAAGGTGAACCTTCACCCCAGTCTGAGGTCCTGAGCTCTCTGGAGCAGGTTTTCAGCAAGGATATCTCTGTACTTTGCTCTGTTAATCTTTGCCTCAATCCTGACTAGTCTCCTAGTCCCTGCCACTGAAAACATCCCCACAGCATGATGCTACCACCACCATGCTTCACCGTAGGGATGGTGCCAGGTTTCCTCCAGACGTGATGCTTGGCATTCAGGCCAAAGAGTTCAATCTTGGTTTCATCAGACCAGAACATTTTGTTTCTCATGGTCTGAGAGTCTTTAGGTGCCTTTTGGCAAACTCTTCTCATGTGCCTTTTACTGAGGAGTGGCTTCTGTCTGGCCACTCTACCATAAAGGCCTGATTGGTGGAGTGCTGCAGAGATGGTTGTCCTTCTGGAAGGTTCTCCCATCTCCACAGAGGAACTCTAGAGCTCTGTCAGAGTGACCATCGGGTTCTTGGTCACCTCCCTGACCAAGGCCCTTCTCCTCGATTGCTCAGTTTGGCCAGGCGGCCAGCTCTAGGAAGAGTCTTGGTGGTTCCAAACTTCTTCCATTTAAGAATGATGGAGGCCACTGTGTTCTTGGGGACCTTCAATGCTGCAGACATTTTTTGGTACCCTTCCCCAGATCTGTGCCTTGACACAATCCTGTCTCTGAGCTCTACGGACAATTCCTTCGACCTCATGCCTTGGTTTTTGCTCTGACATGCACTGTCAACTGTGGGACCTTATATAGACAGGTGTGTGCCTTTCCAATTCATGTCCAATCAATTGTATTTACCACAGGTGGACTCCAATCAAGTTGTAGAAACATCTCAAGGATGATCAATGGAAACAGGATGCACCTGAACACAATTTCTAGTCTCATAGCAAAGGGTCTGAATACTTATGTAAATAAGATCTTTGTTTTATTTTTAACACATTTGCTAAAATTTCTAAAAACCTGTTTTCGCTTTGTCATTATGGGGTAATGTGTGAGGAAAAAATGCACTGTATATACGTTAAGAGATGTTTATGTTTTTGATCCATTCTGATTTTCGGTCTCAACCTATATAGGCTACTAAAGGTAATCAAACACTACACTTGGCCACCTGTAATAAGTATTAGAATCAGATTCTTGGTTACTCTATGGTTAATTATGATAAATACAGTATAACAATCTTTTGGCGGTGTTACTAGTTACATCATCTCATCGTTCATCACCGACGTCCTGTTCTCTAAGCGTGTCATCACAACCTCTTGTACGCAGATCATATCTACAGTATGAGCTTACACATACTCACATGGTACGTATTTAGGTACGGTTACATTTTGAAAGAAAAGGCCCCTGTCCTGTACCTTTTTTTGTAAATGTCATTTGCACAGTTACACAAACCCACTATGAACATGATGATATTAATAGCGGTAGAACACTTCTTCCACCCTGTATCGCCATTGACTACAGCAATGGATCAAGCTCTCATAGGGAAGCAGCTGTGTTGAACGTTCTGGAACACCCTGTGTTCTCTGTTTTTAAAGGTGCTATCCGGAATATTTGCAGCCGTTTTCGTCATTACATTTCTCCAGCCCCATCCATAAGTGTATGTGGCGGGTCTACCTTTTGTCTGAGATTGTAACTTTAAAAGGATAGTTCACCTATTTTAACGTCTCCTACACCTCCCTCTTAGATTGATCTGATTGGAGATCAGCCCCCTGAGTCACACCAGCTCATTTGTCAAAGTGGTTATTATACAGTACTGTGGTATCAGGTTAACGTTTTTCATCATGAATCTTGTTCTGGATGCAGCTCTGCATAGTGGTCACTAACTGGTGCAGCCACAAAGTCATAAGATCTGATTCTACAACGTGTTGGTCAAAACAAGCATTGTATAAGCCGTACTAAAAAACCTGTTTAGCACAGGTAAGCCTATGGTGCAAAAATTGGCATCTTTTTTTTTCTGTTCCATCTGAGAAATCCCTGCGCATCCAGTGTCCCATCAGCCCAGCCGGCCAATTCATTAACTTGATCTCCACTGTAAAAAGCATCTAGACATTATTTCCCCTTGCTTCTAGCCTAACATTTGGTTTGCCACAACAGGGGTTTGTACAAACGTTGTTGTCCGTCTCTCGACATTTGCAACATTGTTTCAATATTGAAATTCGATCTCCACTGTCCTATTGAGAATGAACATGTCAGGACGAGACTGACATATTTTCTCATCCAGTCGAAATCATGAATTGGCATCATTTTTATGGATATATACAAAGAAATGTAAATTAAGAAAACAGGTGAAATGAAATGCAGCTACTTTGCTGTTATTCTAGCTGCACGGTTTGACCTGACTGTGTTAGCCGTAGTTGGCTAGCTAGCAAGCAAGGGATAAGCACGTTGCCAACCAGCATCGCAACGGAACAGTTAGAACGAATGACTGGGTCCCGTCCATAGATATAGAGCAAAATGACTTCACGAGTGGGTCGTGTCTCTAGCAGCCTAACCGATAGAATGAACGGACATTGTGATGAATGGGTTCATTCATATTGTTACCTGTGCACATGTGCTAGAGCATGAGGGAAGTTGGGAACATGGCTACTTAGCATTCAGTCGCATGTCGTTGTGTTACTTGGCATTTATGTTTAAAGGTGGTAACACATTGAAAATAACCTACGGATAAAAGTATTTTTAATATTTTAGATATAACCAAGGTCATTACATGGTCTCAGAAGTGGGATCAAGCTCAACAGGGACAAGTGTAAGTTCAAACAAAGCCAGCTTTGCTTCCTTGGGCACATCGTTGATGCAAACGGCGTCAGGCCAGACCTGGAAAAAGGTAATGGGGATTAGCAACTTCCCCCAGCCTCAGAACGTCATCGAGCTGAAGCGTTTTCTCGGGATGGTACAGTATCTGGGGAAATACATTCCGGAGCTATCCGCTGTGGGACAGCCGCTCTACGAGCTCCTCAAAACAAAGGTAGAGCGGGCCTGGGGACACACACAGCAGGCAGCATTTCACAGACTTAAACACTCACTAACCACCGCTCCAGTGTTTTAACTCATTATGATTCCAGGAAGCCTACAGCAGTGTCAGCTGACGCCAGCAGCTACGGAGTAGGAGGTTTCCTGCTTCAACAGCATGGTGAGGACTGGAAACCAGTCGTCTACAGCAGCAGACATCTGAGTGATGCAGAGACAAGGTACGCTCAGATAGAAAAAACGGTGTTTAGCGAGCGTGTGGGCTTGCGAACGCTTTGAGAAGTACCTCTATGGACTAGACGGCTTCAGGCTGGTCACCGATCACAAACCCCTTGTGCCCCTCATTAACAGCAATCATTTGTACAATGTTCCTATCAGGTGTCAGACTGTTGAGGTTGATGCGTTACAGTGGAATCGCGGAGTACGCACCAAGACACTCGCCGTAGCTGATGCTATGTCCAGGGGTCCACTGAGAAACCACGAGGGTGCAGCAGACTCCCACAGCGCCGTGACCGCGTATGTCGCATCAGTTGTAAGTAATCTACCTGCTTCCCCACAGAGAATGGAGGACATCAGACTGAACAAAGAATGCGACCCACAGCTGCAGTCAGTGCTGTGGTTCATCAGATATGGGTGGCCTGTTTACTTAGAGAAAACCCCTGAATCGATAAGATACTTTTATCAGGTGAGAGGGGAACTGTCAGAGACACATGGACTAGTGATCAACGGAAACCGCGTAGTCATTCCCACATGCACGAGGAAAGAAATCCCACATGGGATTCATGATGGACACCAAGGGCTGGTTAAGTGCAGGGAGAGAGCTAACCAGTCAGTGTGGTGGCCTCACAGGACTCACAGGACATAATGACTGAGGTGCAAATGTGTGCATTTTGCTGTGAAACTAGGAGAAAAGAGCCATTAATATCTAGTGAGCTTCCCTCCAGACCATGGCAGAAATTAGCAATAGATCTGTGTGAGTACAAAAAGCAATAACTACCTAGTAGTGTCAGACTACTATTCTAGATTCCTAGAAATCCTCCACCTTCCAACCACGACCTATAGCCAAGCTCAAAGCAAGCTTTGCTAGGTTCGGAGTCCCTGAGATCCTGGTTAGCATTAATGGCCCCCAGAGCTAAAATAACTCAGTAAGGAGTATGACTTCATTCATGTGACAAGCAGCCCCCACTTCCCACAGAGTAATGGACATGAGGAGAGGGCTGTACAGACAGTGAAGTGGATACTCAAAACAGACAGACCCTCTGCTCGCTCTAATGACGTACAGAGCCACTCCCTCAACATCCGCAGGTTTCAGCCCGGCTGAGCTACTGATGGGGTGAAGGATCAGGACAACCCTCCCTTCCTTGGAAGAGAATCTGAAACCAAACTGGCCTGACCAGGAGAAGGTCTGACAGGCAGACTCTGCTGCAAAACGGAAGCAGGCGTTTTTACTACACGACCGCAGGAATGGAGTCAGAAACCTTCCATCACTGAGCCCTGGGGACACAGTACTCATAAAACTTGATGGACAAAAACACTGGACGACACCAGCTGCTGTTCAAGGCCCCAGCTCCACGGTCATACCGGGTGGAAACTGCCCAAGGGGGGGCCGTTCAGAAGGAACAGGCGCCATCTACAGCTAGTGCCAAGCACGACGACACCAGACCAGGTCACAGAGACTGTGCCCATGACCTCCGAGGTGTCAGGGGAGACACAAACTGTTTCTCCTCACAGGGATGTGACTCTTCCACAAACGGCAATAGGAACTAATGTCACATGTTCAGGATGAGTGAGAAAGCCAGTTGAGAGACTGGACCTGTAAAACTGAAACGAAAGATCACCTCTCCTATAAAAAATAATAAAAAGATGGCTAAGAGACATTGAATGTTGTTTATTCTGTTTATGAGCATACTTGTTGGTGAGCCAAACACGGAACAGTTAAATTTAAGATGAAACTGTGGTGTTCAACGTAATAGTTATAGTCGCACTGGCTATCATAAGTTGAATGCACCAATTTGTAAGTCGCTCTGGATAAGAGCGTCTGCTAAATGACGTAAATGTACATTTGAGTGCATACATTTATTTTTTTATTTTTTTCTTTCATACTGGCCCCCCGTGGGAAACGAACCCACAACCCTGTTGTTGCAAACTCCATGCTCTACCAACTGAGCCACACGGGACCAGTTAAATTTATAATTTTGAGAAGATTAGAATTTACTTTATGGGTTATGCTCACAGTAAAGGTTGACTTGTGATTGAAAACTGTCATCTTGACAGCTACATTATGTAATAACAGCAGACAGGGTTTGGATGTAAACATACCGTTGATAAACGATTGGGGAATGTTTTATTAAAGGGGGGAGATGTGATGAATGGGTTAATTCATATTGTTACTTGTGCGCATGCAGTTGGCATCATGACTACTTAGCATTCAGTCGCTTGTCACTTGGCATTTATGTTATTAAAGGTGGTAACACATTGAAAAGGACCTACGGATAAAAGTATTTTATATCTTAGATATAACCAAGGTCATTACAAACATCTTTTCTCAGCCAGTTGAAATTATGAATCAGCATCATTTTTATGGATATATATAAAGAAATGTCAATAGAAAAACAAGTCTAATGACATGAAATGCAGCTAGATCATTGTCATGCTGAAAGACCCAGCCACGTTTCATATTCAATGCCCTTGCTGATGGAAGGAGGTTTTCACTCAAAATCTCACGATACATGGCCCCATTCATTCTTTCCTTTACACGAATCAGTCGTCCTGGTCCCTTTGCAGAAAAACAGCCCCAAAGCATGATGTTTCCACCCCCATGCTTCACAGTAGGTATGGTGTTCTTTGGATGCAACTCAGCATTCTTTGTCCTCCAAACACGACGAGTTGAGTTTTTACCAAAAAGTTCTATTTTGGTTTCATCTGACCATATGACATTCTCCCAATCCTCTTCTGGATCATCCAAATGCACTCTAGCAAACTTCAGACGGGCCTGGACATGTACTGGCTTAAGCAGGGGGACACGTCTGGCACTGCAGGATTTGAGCCCTGGCGGCGTAGTGTGTTACTGATGGTAGGCTTTGTTACTTTGGTCCCAGCTCTCTGCAGGTCATTCACTAGGTCCCCCCGTGTGGTTCTGGGATTTTTGCTCACCGTTCTTGTGATCATTTTGACCCCACGGGGTGAGATCTTGCGTGGAGCCCCAGATCGAGGGAGATTACAAGTGGTCTTGTATGTCTTCCATTTCATAATAATTGCTCCCACAGTTAATTTCTTCAAACCAAGCTGCTTACCTATTGCAGATTCAGTCT